AGGACCAGGGCTCTTTCCCTTGTCTTCTCTAGAAGAATTAGCATACACCAAGCAGCAAAGGACTCCCTCGTATGCTCAGAATGGGAAGAGACCCCTCTGTCCCTGTCACATGGACATACTTTGATTCATTTGTAGGAGGATTTTGTCTCCTGAATACAGAAGCCAGGACCTGTTGGGGCACATCTGGTTCAAGGAACCACCTTGGAAGTTTGGACATGAAAACCAATGTCTATTTTTATAATCATAACTTTGGTCTTTGTTCCAGAGACCTGATTGATAGTCAAGATCATGCAAATAAATAGAGATGATCCAAACTTAATAGAAGAGACAAGCACCTGACTTCCCTGGAGAGCAGGGACTCAGGGGTAACTATGATATGGGGTGGTATTGATGTGCGTGGATGGGGCTATGCAGAAATGATATGTGTGGCATAGGTTAATATATTCATACATATACATGCATATATACATACACACATATATTAACCAAATAGCCAAAACCACTGCAAGCATGAGACCCAACTACAACAACCAAACTAAAAAAACAGACCTGGTAAGGAGGTGGGTTGGAGCCAGGAGGGGAGGTAGGAGGAAACCTGAGGGCATTGATGGAAGAAAGTTGATGCAGATATTGGGATTGATGTTGGAACATTGTATTCCTGAACCTCTACTATGAATAACTTTGCAGATCACTGTGCCTTCATAAAAAATTAAAATAAATTTTGAAAATTTTGAAAAAAAAAAACACCTCTCCCCACAAGATATAATGCCTTGCACTTGTCTTATGAAAAATGCTGATACACTTGTAGACACACAAACTAAACTAACCCATCATCAAGATGTTTCAGCAGTGTGCATTTAATAGGGGTCCTTTCCTGAGAATTAATTTCCCAGTGTCTCTACCGAGAAGGAACAGCTTCTCGTAACATCTGTTCCTTGAACAGCCGAAGTGTCTTGTATCGTCTGGCTTCCCCGAGGCACCTCTGCCAGGCTCCAGACAGACTGGGGCTACAGTAACCTTATCCTTCCCTGTCAGAAATAAGCCGGTAGCCTGCCAAACCAGACACCTGTGGCCCTGGGAAAATGGAGTCCTGCTGCTTAAATAGAAGGACTGGAATTAGCCAGCAGTAATAGCAACATTTTAGCCCCATCTCTGGACCAGTCACTGATGGAATCAACTGTGCTACACTGGGCTCCCGGTCACAGGCCTGTCAAAAGGTGACTGTTGCCTTCAATTATTTTCAACTCAACTCAGTTCACACTTCATGCTTTTTGTATTAAGTGTGATTGTTTGGGTTGTGGGAACAAAAAACTGGTTAGTGTTCTGCACGGGCTGAAGAGATGGCTCAAAGGACTTGTGACCAGCCCATGTTCTGTCCCAGTCTTCTGACCACACACTGCTTTGTGTGGCCCAAAACAGTCTTCTGTGTACTTGAAGAGATCCGAACCTAAAGAGGAGATGTGGGATCATGTGTGGCCGTAGGAGAGTTAGTCATATCCAGACACACAGAATATTCTAGAGGAAACCTGACAGCAGAGACTCACTTCGTCTCTGAGCTTTGATGGTGAGTGATTTTTCACTGAGGGTGTTTTATCCTCCTGATAACAAATATATGGTGACTGTCTCCACATTACCTCTCCAGCTTTCTGGACTGAAAGTTGTCCAGACTCTGTGATGCTAATTCTATGGAGATGGTACACAACTCCCTGCCCCGAGCAGAGCCCCAGCAGCCGAAGACCTCCAGAACCAGCCACAACCATGCTGAGACCACTCTTTGCACACATGAAGGTACCAGCAGAGGGACAAAGACATGCAGGGCTGAGATCTCCAAGCCTGCTTGGATCTGGGCTGAGCATCCTCCATCCAGATCCTCCATTTTCCAGTAGGCAGAGGTCACACCCACCATCTGATCTGACCCCCAGTGCCGTGTAATCCCATCAATGGCCAAGACCCAGAGACTATAGAACCCAGCTCCCGGACGCGGACGCGACATCTTACTATCTCATTCTTACTTTGGACAACCTGGTAGGCTACCGAATGTAACCTGCCCACATGGCAGAGTCTGGCAAACTCCCCGTGGTATACCCAATATGCCAAATACCAGTAACAATGATGGGTCTCATTCTCCTAATCCTGAAAGATCCTTGAATATGGCACTTTTGAAAACCTCAGGGTTAGGGCAAAGGAGACATTACTGGTGCCTGCTTGAGGCAATCGACGAACAACAGGATGATCCTGATCGTGATCATGGTACACATCACATTTCGCAGCTTTCAAGGGATGAGTCTTCCCTACCCTCAGGTCCCCACTTGCACAGAATGTTCCTCACTTCAAATGCCAGTTGCAGATCTCAGGCCTCCTGTACACCTCCCCAACCAACCACGAAGGTTGGGTTCCGGAGCTGGACGGTATAGCAAGTGTGTACTCATCTTGAACCCATCCAGGTTCAAGCCCTGCCCCCATATAGGATTCCTGAGCCCACCAGGAAGGATCTCTGAGCACAAATCCAGGAGTAATCCCTGAGTAAACATAGCCAGGTATGGACCAAATACTAAGCAAAAAGTAGGGCTCCCTGCCTCAGGATAGACAACTTAGTTGAATGACTCCCAGGGTGCAGGGAGGCACTCTGCCTTATGATTATCTGTTCATCATAAAGGATACAACTGAATTGCAGAGACACATGAGCATGTACCATGCTCCCACACCCTGCAGTGTGCAGCAGCCCAGATGCTTGCTGAGAAACCACTGCTAAGAGCGTCTCTCCAACCTCCATCTCTTCTCTTTTGTTATTGTTATGATGACAGGAAGTAACACACTCACTTGATTGTGGTACTTGCTTATGCCTGGCTGCAATGTATCTGAGACTGTACACACTTGCCCCGTGTGTGATCCCAGAGGAACCACCAAGACCATGCTTGGCCTATGTGGGTGGCACCAGGTATTCAACTCACTATTTCTTTTTTTGCAAGGCAGGTACTTTGTTGTTGTTGTTTTGCAACTGTGCCATCCCAAGACTTGGTTCAAGTTTTTATGGTGGTTCCATTATGTAGGCATGGTTGATTAAATTATTAGTCCCTGGGTGCAGGGAAGTATAATTCAATCTCTTACCCCTATCTCTTCTCTAAGGAAGTAGGGAGTGGCAGATTCTGAGCTTTAGCTTTTAATCAGAGCTTGGTTATCCTGGGGAACACTGTTCCCCTGCAATTATCTAAGGTCTTTTTCTTTCTGGGTTACACCCGGCGATGCACAGGGGTTACTCCTGGCTCTGCTATACCCTGACAGGTACCAAGATATTCCCAACCCACAGGGCAATTATAAGAAAGACAGAGCTTAAATCCATGTCCAGAGATGACAAGGTCCTCGGGTGAGTGTTAAACAGGAAGGAATCCAGCGCCTTTATGATCTAGAAGTTTTCAGGAAAGAGCTGGAATTCCAGGATTTGGTAATTTAGGAATTACTCCATATGGGATGCTGGGAATTGAACCCAGGTCGGCCACGTGCAAAGCAAACGCCCTATCTGCTGTGTTATTGCTCCAGCCCAGCATTTTCTGATTTTTGGGTCTCAAAGCTCTACAGAGCTCTACAGGTTTCTCAGAGCCCAAGGATCACTCCTGGCTGGTCTCCGGGACCATATGGGTGCTGAGGATTGAACCCTGGGCCGGCTGCATTTAAGGCAAGCACCCTACCGGTTGTACTATCACTCTAGCCCCTTGCATTTCTTTTGTGATTGTGGTGGTGAATTCTCTGATTTTATATTTCTGTGTTTGGGGCAAAAGGAAGTCACAAGGTTAGCTGGACAGGATGGCTACTGCACAGCCATTTCGCTAGGATATTGATTTATGATTACCTTTTCCCAAAAAAGTACTTTTTCAAAAAATATTAATCTTATTCCAAACTTTTACATATTCAAAAATGGTATTCATTCCAAAACACATGCATTTATAACTGCCTGTTCTGTTGTTCAGCAAAAAATGTGTTGTACACTTGCTCAACTCCAGAAACCTGTAGAACCCAACTCATTGCCTACTAGCAACTCCCCCCAACACCCCCCCCAAAAAGAAACTAATAAAGAGTGCAGAAAAACCCAGCACACCACGGAAAAATTAGCGCTATACCCCGACAGGTACGAAGATATTCCCAACCCACAGGGCAATTATAAGAAAGACAGAGCTTAAATCCACGTCCAGAGATGACAAGATTTGGTAACTTGGTAAAAAAAAATTCCAGGTTTTCAGTGCATGAGCAATGTCTCAATAATCAGTTCATCTAGACTGAATTCCCTTCATACATATTTATAAAATATTTCCTGACCCCCTTGGGGCAACCTGGAGAAACAGGTAAGCAATCTTTTTTTTTTTTTTTGGTGGGATGCCTTTATAACTCAGGGGATCTAAAGAAAGTGGCGTTCAGCTCAGCACGATGTGATGGGCAGAACATAGGGGTTACACCGTTGTACGTGGACACTGTTTTATGGGTGGGAGAGTCAGTGAAATGCACTGTGAGGTTGTCAAAAGTTTGCAAAGGCAGGTGCAAAGATTAGGGAAGCTGGGGTTGGAGCGATAGCAGTGCATGGGGCGTTTGCCTTGCACGCGGCCGACCGGGGTTCGATTCCCAGCATCCCATATGGTCCCCTGAGCACCGCCAGGAGGAATTCCTGAATGCAGAGCCAGGAGTATAACCCAAAAAGCAAAAAAAAAAAAAAAAAAAAAAAAGAAGGGACGCAACATTTCAGCCACTCCAAGGGGGCTCGCGCGGGGCCCTCGCAAAGCCCCGCGGCCAGCCGCCTCCAGGGGGCGCTCTGGCCCTGCGCCGCCCGCGGGCCCGCGGCGTTTCCGGGCACCGGGGACTCCGCAGCAGTCGCCCGGGTCACCGCGGCCATCGTCTCCGGGCGCGCTCGCTCCCGCTGCGCTTCCCGCTGGCCTCGCTCGCCGGCCGCTCCCGTTACCGGGGCAACGGCGGCGGCGCCTCCTCCGCGGCCCTCGCGCCGCGATCGTCGCTCCGCGCCATTTTCAAACTGCCCTTGCGGCGCCGGAGCCTGTGCCGGGCGGGGCCGGAAGGAGCAAGAAGCCGGCGAGGGGCCGAGGGCCCGGGGCGATGCGGCGGCCGGAGCTGCGGGTGAGCGCGGCGGCGGGCGGGGTCGCCGGGATCGGCGGGGCCAGGCGGGCGGGCGCGGGCGGGAGCGCGGGAGGAAGCGGAGGCCGACGGGGCGCACGGAGCGCGCGGGGCGCACGGGGCGCGCGGGGTGCAGCGCGCCGGCTCCCTGCAGGCCGCGCTCCCGACACCCCTGCAGCCGGGACCCCCTCTCGGCGCCCGCACCCCACACCCGGCACCCGGCTCCCGAGCGCGGCCCCGGCGGAGGTGCCCCAAGGCTCAGCCCCCGGGCTCCCAGGCTCCCGGGCTCCCGGGTTCCCGGCGCGCGCGCGCGCGGAGACGTCAGCCGGCCGCGTTCCCGGGGCGGGGCGTTACGGACGCGTTTGTCCAAGGGTGGGGGGACTCCGGGCCCGCCTGGCCTCCGCTCCTGCTGGAACCCGGCGGTGCCCCGGGCCCCCCCAGCGTTTCGGTGAGGGAGGTGGGGTGGGAACGGCCCCCGCGGGGTGGGGAAAGCCTGGTCCGGGACATTTGGTGCGGGAGTGGGGGGATGGGAGGGAGCATTGTCCCCGTCTTCTGCCCTTGTGCCCGCGGTGTGGAGGCCGCGGTTTTGTTTTGTTTTTGGTGGGTGGGGACGCGGGGCACGTCCGGACCCTGCAGGGATCACTCCTGGCAGGGCCCCGGGGACCGGGTCTGCTGCCGGGCATCGATCCTGAGCTAGCGGCTTGCAAGTCGCCAGCGTCCTACCAGCTGTGCTCTAGGCCCTACCCAGTCTTTTAGGTTTTTTTTTTCAAACAGTTTTTTTTTTTTTTGAAGCCAGTGGTTTACAATGATAACGTTGGGGGAGTCCAGCTTATGTCTGAAAGTTCGTAAGCTTCACCACACCACCACACTATCCAAAGGATGCTCCTAAAGGATGCTCCTCCCCTGCTCCTTCCACTCCCCCTTCCTCCCCAACACACATGCTTCTCCCTCCTCCTTTCCGTCCAGTACCCACCACGTTTTCCAATTGAGTTGTAAAATAATAAGTTCTTTTCCCGTAGTTATCCATACTCTGCAGGGAACTGACACCACCCCGAGGTTGTTGCACTCCCTGACTTATTGCATCTAGTGCAATCAACTCAAGTCCTAGTCATTTTGTCCCCAAAGGCACAATGCTGAATTCATCATTGGACCGGGGCGGGGGAGGGGGGGGGGGGAGGCGCGCGCGTGTGTATTTGTGTATTATTTTATTTTTTAGGGACCAGTGTGGTACCAGGGATTGAAACGAGACTCCTACAGCCAAAGCATGTGCTCTAATGCATTCAGCTGTGCTTTGCCAATGAGTCATTTTATTTTATTTTTCTTGGGGGTGGGGGGGCGGGCATGTCAGGAGGTTCTCCCGTACTATTATTCCTGGTCCTGTACTTAGGCGTGCCCCTTGGTGGTGTTGGAGTACCGTGCAAGTGACTGGAGATGGAATTCCGCCTCTTGGAGGGTGCGCACCTTTCACGGCCAAAACTACTTCTCCAGCCGGCTGGGAAATTTACACAATGAAATGTACATAACGTAACTGTACTGATGATTCGTGGTCACCAGAGGCAGCTGACCCGAAATCCTTCAGTGACTGTTCTCATTTTTGTCCGTGTTTGATTTTTTTTTTTCTGTTCTTGAACTTCACTTAAAAATCACTGTACAAGGGTTGTGTCTGGCTTGAGCTGCTCAAACAGCATTCTTGAAATTCATCTATGTGGTTGATATGTATCAGTAGCTTCTTCCCTTGTATTTGGAAGTAGTATTACATTGTATAAATATCTTGTGGTTGATTTTGCTGCTGTAGATGGATACTTCTGTGTTTGCAATGTAGGGCTATTGTGGATATATTTTTGAGGGTGTGGATATTTATTTTCATTGCTTTGAATAAGTACTCAGGAATAGAATTACAGAGTTATAAGTCAAGGTTTTTTTGTTTTGTTTTTGTTTTTATGAAACTGCCAAACATTTTCCAAGGTGATTTTACACTGTCACCGCGGCATATAAAGATTCCAGTTCCTCCAAGTCCTGGAAAACATTTGATATTGCCAGCTCTTTTATTTTTGACCATTTCTACTAAGAGTGCAATGCTGCATCTCACTGAATTTCATTGCAGTTTTAATATGTGTCTTCCTGGTAACTGACTAATGGTGTTGAGTGCTTTTTATTCTAATTATTTTCCTCATATCTGCCAGTTGCGTTTTTGGGTCTTTTAGTCCCATTTTGTAACTGGGTTGTTCATCTTATTATAAGAGCTCTTTATATTCCATGGATAATCGTCTGTCAATATAGTGAAAATTTTCTTTACTCTTTCATTTGCATTTTTTTCTTCCCTTTTTTTTTTGGGCTACTTGAACCCAGAGCTTCATATACATCAAGCACCCGCTCTACTATTTTGCTATCTCCATTTCCCCTGCATTTTTTCCTTTTCAAGTTTTTCTTTTTCTTTCAGGGGGTACTACACCTGGCAGTGCTCAGAGGCTACTCGGTGAGGGTATCTTTTGGAAGGCATTGTACAGGGAGTGGTCTGTGCAGTGCCAGGGATAACACCAAGGTCTTCTGCATACAAAGCTGTGCTCCGGGTTTTTTTTTTTTTTAATTTTTATTAATGAAACACCGTGAGGTACATTTGTAGACTTACAAATTTTGTGCTTGGGTTTCAGCTATATAACGATAGAGTACCCATCCCTCCACCAGTGCCCATTTCCCACCAACACTAATCCCTGTATCCCTCCCACCCCCACCCCCCCATCCCACCCTGCCTCTGTGGCAGGGCACTCCCCTCTGATCTCTCTTTTTTGGGGGGGTGCTGAGGTTTGCAAAAGAGGCACTGAGTGGCAGTCATGTTCGGTCTATAGTCTACTTTCATCATGCATCTCCCATCCTGGGTGGATCTTCCCCACACCCTTTATTTGGTGCTCCCTTCTCTATCTGTGTGCTCCAGGTTTTGAGCCATCTAGCTCCTTCTCTAAAAGGACCCTGCCCGCCTCAGATATGGGGAAATATTCCTGTGTTTCCTTCTCAGAGCTTTATTATTTGAACTTTTTCCATATAGGCTTATGAAGAGATAACTTATTTTAATGTTGCAGAATGAATATTGTAAACATTGAACCTAAATCTTTTTTTTTTTGCTTTTTGGGTCACACCTGGCAATGCACAGGGGTTACTCCTGGCTCATGCATTCAGGAATTATCCTTGCTGGTACCCGGGGGACCATATGGGATGCTGGGAATTGAACCCGGGTTGGCCGTGTGCAGGGCAAATGCACTACCAGCTGTGCTATCACTCCAGCCCCATGAACTTAAATCATTTTAAATATTACAAAAGTCTTACTACCGTAGAAAAAATATTGCTTCATATTTGCAGGAGCTTCTTAGCATAACAGTAATAAACAGCTACAATGATGTAATGGCATTATGTTCTTTTCTTTTAGGACTTTAATTTTTTAAAGTAGATCAAACTGGTTTTGGAAGTGAAGATGACTACAGCTGCAGAAAGAAAGTATATTAATATTAGAAAAAGATTGGATCAGTTGGGATACCGCCAGACTCTGACAGTGGATTGTTTGCCCTTGGTAGAAAAACTTTTCAGGTAAAGAAAATGCAATACTAAAAACCTGTGTGATTCTTAATTTGGTTTATCTCATTTCTGATGGAACTTCTTACTTCAGTAAAGAAGTAGGTGGGTTTAAGATGCTTTATTAGGCTGGAGAGATAGTATAACTGGTAGGGCACTTGCCTTGCACGCACGGTCCCAGGTTCAGTCCCCCGTACTGCATTTGGTCACTCAATCCCTCCAGGAGTGATCCCTGAGTCCAGAACCAGGAGTTATCCCTGGGCATCACTTGTGCATCCTGACTCTTGCTATTTGTGTGTCCCAGTAAGAGGTCTGCCCTAGAGAATGTCCCTTGTGTACTGGCGACAAATGTGTCTTCACCTTCTGAGGTGTGAGGAACCCTGTCAGTGCCCATTAAGCTCAGCTCTTTATAAGGTATTGTTTCCTTACTGATTTTTTTATCTAGTTGATGTGTCTGCAGTGAGAAGGTGATGTTCAAGTCTTCTACTTTTGTGATGCTGTAGCTCTCCTTACAGGCCTACTAGTCGTAGTTTTATAAATTTTGCTGCTTCTTTATGTAGTACATGTATGTTGATACGAATTGTGTCTTCTTGTATTAAACCTCAATCATGATGCCTGTCTCTATCTCTTATTATGTTTTTTAGTTTGAAATCTATTTTGTCTGCTTTAAGTATGACTGTCTCTTTTTAGGCTGTGTTTTGCCTGTGATTATTTTCCAAGATTTTACTTTGAGCTTTGTTTGTTTGATTTTTTTTTGTTTGTTTAGTTTTGGGGTCATACCTAGCAGTGCTCAGGGATTACTCCTGGTTCTGTGCTCAGGAATTAATCCTGGCCAGCAAGGAAGACTAGAATATAGGGAGGCTGGGGGTTGAACCCTGATTCGCCACTTACAAGGCAAGTGCTCTTCTCAATCTAATCTAAGAAAAGATCACAGAAACAAAAGAAAAAAGTACAACAATAACTCTGAAACTCCACGTAGAAAAGCAGCAATATGTATCAGTATTTCCCCATCCATATAGGACTGGAGCTATAGCACAAGGGGTAGGGCATTTGTCTTGCACATGGCCGACCAGGGTTTGATTCCTCCCTCCGTTGAGCCTGTTTTTATCATGGGAGTTGAACCAGACCTCCTGTAAGCAGCAGGAAGTTAGATTGTGTTTCAGGTCACCTGGCCGATCTATACCTTTTTATTGATGACTTTGGGCATTTAGAGAAATTACAGATACATAAATTGTTTATATATAGCACTGTAGCACTGTCCTCCCATTGTTCATCAATTTGCTCGAGTGGGCACCAATAACATCTCCATTGTGAGACTTGTTACTGTTTTTGGCATTTCAAATACGCCGCGGGGAGCTTGCCAGGTTCTGCAGTGCGGGCGGGATACTCTCAGTAGCGTGCTGGGCTCTCCGAGAGGGAGGGAGGAATCAAACCCTGGTCGGCCATGTGCAAGACAAATGCCCTACCCCTTGTGCTATAGCTCCAGTCCTATATGGATGGGGAAATACTGATACATATTGCTGCTTTTCTACGTGGAGTTTCAGAGTTATTGTTGTACTTTTTTCTTTTGTTTCTGTGATCTTTTCTTATTATCTCCCCTTGTACCCTGATATCTGCCTCTTAGATGGTGATCTATTCACTGCTATCTGCTACTGCTTGTTTCTTTCGTCTAAGTATATTTTCGTCCTCAGGTACCCAGGAATTTACATTTAACTTTCCCAACTTCCTATTTTAAATTTAAAGTCGGTAAGCCTTGAGTTCATTCTCAGAGATTCCATTATTTCCTTTTCCCACATTTTATATTTTTAAGCATTTTACTGTTTCCAAGTTAGTTCGCACCCCCCCCCCCCGCCCCTTTTTTCACTTTTATAGAAGACTATTTCATATTTACTTCAGGTCTGGTTTAACAGCTATGTATTCCGTTAACTTGTTTGGGAAACTATGTCTCCTTAGAAACTATAGTCTAGCTGGATATATTAGTCTTGATTTAAGATTATTACTTTTAAATGTTTGGCTACATCATACCATTCCCTTCTGGCCTACAGTTTCAGTCAATAGATTTGTTAGTTTTACTGGAAACCCCTCATCTATGAGTATTTTCTTTTCTCTTTCTTCTGGATTCTAGCTCCATCTTTGGCTTTTCCATTTTAATTACACGGCATCTTGATGTTTGTTTGGATTTATTTTGTTTGAAACTATGAGTTTTCTGAATCTGGGTATATACCTCCTTCCTCAGATGGGGGAAGTTCTTGTCTATTGTCTTCAGCCTTTCTTTCTTTCCTCTGAACCTGTAAGATGCAGATCTTGTTCCTCTTTATACTCTACCATAAATATTTTGTTTTTCCTGTTATTTATTTATTTATTTGTTTTTGCTTTTTGGATCACACCCAGCGATGCACTCCTGGCACTGCACTCAGGAATTACTCCTGGCGGTGCTCAGGGGACCATATGGGATGCTGGGAATCGAACCCGTGTCTGCTGCGTGCAAGGCAAACGCCCTACCCACTGTGCTGTTGCTTTAGTCCCTCTGTTCCTTTTCTGATGGTTTCTTCCATTGTATCCTTAAGCTTTGATTTGATCTTTCCTCTTTTCTGTTCTGTTTTTGGGACCCCTCCCCCCCATTGTGTTTCTTTGTTCAATTATAGTATTTAGCTCAGTGATTTCTTTTTAACTTTTTCTCCCTTGTTAAACTTATAAAAATTCTCTTTTGTTGATTTTCTTCGGATTGTCGCTTTGAAGTGTTCCTCAGAGAATTTAGAAAGATAGATGTTGGCATTTTTCTGAGGCTTTTGTCTTCACCTATTGATGTCAGGGAATTTCTTTGTTTCTTCATGATTACTAGTGATCTGTAAGGGTTGAGTTGAGGATGAGCATCTGAATTTGTACAAACCTGCTTGACAATCTGGGCTTCAGTCAAATTAGATGGTGGCTGTGCCTGTGAGTTGTGTGGAGTTGGGATTTGTGGCACAGTGCCTGCCACAGCTGCTGCAACTGAGTCTGACACGCCTTAGCTGTAGCCAGGCTTATTGATGGCTGGCAGTGGTGTCCCCATAGTGACAGGCGGGTCTCATTCATGAGTACCCAGTAGCAGCTGTCACACTAGGCTGACTTGCGGAGCTACTGGGGACTTTGCATTAGCAGTGCCTGTCAGCAGCTGCCACCGTAGGTCAGATAGACCCGGGTCATTTTCTGTGATGGGACTTTACATTTGGCAAGACCTGTGGCACCATGTTAGAGGGGGCCTACCAAGAGTTCAAGTCTGTGTTTGAACGGAACCTGGAGAGCGACCAGTGAGTGTGAACATTGTTCCCCAGTGGCACGCTAGTGCCAAGTTTGAACATGCTGGGGGCAACCTGGTAGGGTGTCATGAGGCCCGTTTCTGCCTTCTGCCAAGGGCCTGTCCAGCAGTGACAAGGAATTGAGGCTGTAAGTGCCCAAGGGCAGCTGGGTTCCACGTTCATGCAGACTTGGGGTGTCTTGAGCTTCAAGACTTTGAGTCCTTCAGAGCCAGTATTGAGAGGAAGGGAGGGCTGGAGGGAGGGTCTTAGTGGCAGCTGGAGGTTCAGGGTCGCAGGCTGCCCCGCTGTGGTCACAAAGGTCTATGTGTGGCTGACTAGCCTGTGTGGGGGTGTGAGCTTAGGAGCTGACTGGCCTCAGCCTCGGAGCATGCCACCCGGAGCTGAATGGAGCAGAGCAGGTAGGGGTCCCGCTTCAGAACCTCTACATGGTCGGATTCGGGGTCACCAACGGACTGGGCTATTCAAAGAGGGAACCAGCTTGTGGTTTCCCTGGTGAACAGAATTGCTAATTTTACTGTGGTCATCTTCAAACAGTAGCGAGTTCAGTATCTGTGCGAGCTGTGCTCTGGGAGGCCCACAAGGAGCTCTTCCTGCTTGCTTAGTCCGCTGTGGACCCAGGAGACATGTGTCTGGGTGGGCTCAGCAGGTGCCTCTTGGTGCCCTGGTAGCTCTGCTGTCCCTCTGGCATGAACAGGCACTCAGGGTTCGAAGGCAGGAGGTTGCTAGGGCGAGGTTGGCTCCTGCAGTGCTGACAGCTGCTGATTCTGACCTCTGGGTGCACCTTCGCTTGCCTCCCATTTGAGGGGGTGTTGTGTAAGAATAGGATTGTAAACTTGGGGTGCAAGTGTTAGGGGCTCCCCTCCACTCCTGAGCGCGGCTCGTTTCCCAGGGCAGAGTCCCACACTGTACACAACCTTCCAGCCACTGGTTCCAGTGCGGCGCTTCCTGGGGGAGATTTGGCTGCCCCTGGGACAGCACCCTGGTCCTCATCAGTATGACCAGAAGATTCTGGGATTCATCTAAATTTTGGTGGAAATTTGGCCACCACCATGGGAGAATTCAAACCAAGGATCTGCCTACACAGCCGTTTTGACCAGTAGTTGCCATTTTGAACATTTCTTAATCATCATTGGATGCCCCATCCGTCGTTTCAGGACCTCCCTATTGTAAAATTAGGAGTCACCACTGGACCGGACTGTTCTAAAATTTGTTTGTTTAAATAGAATTACAAATTTTAATGTGGTTATTTTCATGGGGTTGAGAGCTCTCTCCGTCTCGCTCCTTGGCCTCTAGTGATAATTGCATTAATGATGGCTCACTTCCGTGGCTGGGTTTTAGCCGTTACACATTACCTTAATTGGAATCCTCTTGGTAATGTTAGTTCTTCGCAACTTGAACTCATTACTAGGGTTTGAGACTGGCAGTAAAAAATTACCTAGGAAACTTTTGGAGTGGGCCTCCAAACAATTATAATGGGAAGGAAAGAGTGGATAAAAACTTTTTTGTGTGGTCTTTTTAATGACCTTCCCAGATGTCCGTCTTCCAGTGTACGCAGCTGTTTCCCCCATGTTTCGAGCCACTTAAAGCTCCCTCAACATATGTCCACTCTCATCTGTCTCTGCATCTGTGCGCCTCTGCCCGGGAGGTCCTTACTCTTCTCCTTCCTCCCTTCCGTCTTGCTTGGTTGTACGGCCTGCAGGACTGTCACGTGTCACACGCTACCTAAACATACCCAGCAGAGCATCTTTAGACTTCCTTTTTCCCTCTAGAACGAAAAGCATGAGGTTATAGAGAGTATGAGACGAGGGACTAACTTTATTACAGCTTTGCTGAGGAAAGACTGAACTGTCATTCGTTGGTCCTAAAGTTTTGTTGGGATTTTCACATAGTAATAGATCTTTCTGACAATCTGTAGGGTATGAGCTCCATGTCATTAAACTAGTGATTGTATTTCTGGCTCAGTTAACATTGATGTGCCAGAAATTGATGTCGCTGTGCCAGGCCTGTGTTCTCGGAGGTAAGGACAGTAGGCACTCCGTAAGGACTTGCTAAATGGACGACTAATTTTCTACAGGGTCAAATGACTAATTGAATGTAGATGAGTGAGGCAGGAAATCCCAAGATGACTTTGTTATTTAACTTTTAACTTTTAATTTATTATGAGAAAAATTTTGAATATTTCCTGGTACCTTGAAAAACTTCGTTTGTTTTATTTTAATATATTAAAATATATTTTAGTATATCCGTATATTTTTAATACTTTGTAGGAATATATTTTCAGTTATCAGGAAGTAATAAAATGTTTCCTTCTATTTGTATTTTCTGTTCCTTTAGTGACTTAGTTCATACAACAGAAAGTCTTCGGAAGTCAAAACTAAGTGCTGCAAAAGCTGAAAAAGAAAGTGCCAATTTTGATTTTGTTTTGGAACCTTACAAACATGAAAATGCAAAACTGCTCAGAGAAAATAATGAATTATACCTGGAACTAATGAAACTGAGAGAACAATCAGACCAGAACATTAAAGGTAAAATTCTGTGGCTTCATTTTGAATATCATCTAACTTAAAAAATATTGGTTAGAATAATTTTCAGGTCTTAGTGATAGTACAAGTGGGTAGGGCACTGGAGTGCAGAGTCAGGACTAATCCCCGAGCGTTACCTGGTGTGTCCCAAAAGCAAAACAAAAACCGAAATAAAATATGATAGTTTTCCCACTAATCATTGTTAAGATACTATAGGGTGTGTGTAACAGTTTCTGGAAAGGAAAATAAATTTGCATTCCATAGTTACCTAAGATTGATCCTTCACTGAAGATGAATTTTATTTTCATCAAAACGAAAATTGCTGCAGAAAATATTAAATGCTGGAACTGAAGACATGGTCTCTTTTATTTTTTTCTTTCTTTTTTTTCTCTTTTTAAATTTTCAATTTTTTTTTTAAGTGAATCACCATGAGATAAACAGTTACAAAGCTTTCATGATCGGGTTTCAGTGATACAATGTTCCAAGACCCATCCCTCCACCATTGTATGTCTCCCATCAGCAGTCTCCCCTGTTCCTCTCAGTTCGCCTTTATGGTGGACACGTCTCTCTCTCTCTCTCTCTCTCTTTCTCTCTCTTTCTTCCTCTCTCCCCCCTCCCTCCCTCCCTCCCCCCCCTTTTGGGCATTTTGGTTTGTAATATAGATACTGAGACACCATCATGTTTGGTCTTTTCCCCACTTTCAGCACACATCTCCCATCAGAGCGATCACTTGCAACCGTCCATTGTCATAGTGGTCCCTTCTCTATCCCAACTGCCCTCTCCCCAGATCTTGAGGCGGGTAAAGACATGTTTGTAACGTGAAGTAAGCTTATGTAAAGTGAGGTAAGATTAAAATAAAGCCAGAGACCATTCTGCTGTTTAATAATTTATTTTTCTGCTGGAAGTTCCTCTAGAATGATGCAAAAGTACTGGGCAAAGAATAATGGTATGTCTGTCTTATAATTTCTTATTGGAACTTCTTCAAGAGTAGAAATCATTGTATGATACCTGGCAATTCATAATCCCATAACTTCATACCCAATTTACTGCATCGGAAATCTTCATTTATACCGGTTATGCTTCAGAAGGAAATATAATTCCCTTATGTATTTAGTGATCAATTTGCAATTTTATTAACAGTGGTGAAAAAGGTAATGCTCTTTTCTAGCATGCACAAGAATCAGATAGAGCCTTTCATTTTTTGTCTTCCTGAAGAGATTGATTGGTTAAGGGACTAAAGTTACGGTATCATATTGTGGCTTTCAATCTATTTTTGAAGATTTTTAACCACTGACTCTGCAGTGGGCCAGTGGTTTTGACCACTGTTAGAAATGCATTATTATATTTAAATGTATTTTTGTGTTAAAAATGTACGTATTGACATGGAAGAGTAAATATTATTTCTCTTTTTCATTTTCTTTTTTTTTTTTTCTGGGCCTGGCTAGCAGTGCTTAGGGGACCTGCCATCCACTGCTTGGCAGCATTCAGCTAGCTGAGCTGCTGGCTCCCGTACTCGGACCTGAGGATGTGGTACTGCTCTGGCCTGTGGCCCTGGGAACCATCAGGGCCTCCCCGGCAGTGTGTGTGGGGGCCGAGGGGCCCGCAAGGCCACAGCCAGTGATGTTTAGGAGGCCCCAGTGCTGCACTTGGTGATGCTCAGGAGCAATGGGGTGCTGGGAATTGAACCCAGGTCAGGTGCCCTAACAGCCATACCATTTTCCTGGCCCTTTCTTTTCTTTGTTTTTTGAGAGTTAAGTTAATGTGACATTTTTACATTTTGTGAAATGGAAGAGGGTCTTAGCTTTCTTGAGCGGTACGATAATGTTTTAATTGTTCTCATTTTAAGAGCTGAAAACTGCACTGAAGAAGAGTGCCTGTGAAGCTTCTGATCTGAAATTTTTAAATAACCAATATGTTCACAAACTCAAGCTTATGGAGAAAGAAAGCAAGGCTAAAAATGAAAAAATTCAACAGCTTCAAGAGAAGAATTTACATGCTGTGGTACAAACTCCAGGTGAGTCTGTTCCTTCTCAAAATCAATTTTGTGAATCTAATGTTTTAAAGCTATTCAAACTGTTGAAAGAGGACTTTGAAATCGGTACTTTGGCTTTAGTGTTTAGAAAAATGCATTTGGATTGGGAGTTAGTACAGGAACCAGGATGTGAGGCCCAAGATCGAACCCTGACTCTGCAGTGGCCTCCGAGCATTGCACGTTGTGGCCCTGGAGGCCCCAGCCATTGCCAGGTGTTACCCAAGAGGCCCTTAAGTGCAGTCGGGTGGCCCAAGTAGCATCACCGCACTGCAGGGCCCTAGCCCTGAACGGAGTATTACGGGGAGTGTTATCTGGTTGCCTGAGTACCACTTTGGAGAAACTTCCCCAAATTAGTCATGCCAACTTTATTTCTAAAATTCCACATATTTTATAGAATTAGAAACTCTAGCTTTTAGAAATTAGAAACAACGTAATCATTTCTTTAGTCATTACTTTTTGGAGGAGCCTCCTAAGCCCTTGCAACTGAGCCGTATGATTCTATGTGGGAGCTTAGTGCTGCAGTGCTGACCCAGCACACTGGGCACCTCCAGGCCTGTACTCAGCAGCCTGGGAGCTGGGGGGCATGAGGGCTGAGTAAACTTGGGTCTTGTGCCTGCAAGGCATGTGCTCTGACCCCTGATCTATCTCCCCAGCACCTTAAGTCATTTTCAGTTACTTTTTCACTTTTAAGTTCTTCATCCCAAAATAATTTGGAAATGGTGCACTTAGCTTATTAGTAGCTCAGTAGTTCTTAAGCAAGGCCCAAGAAATGATGATTGTCTAGGCGTAAGGTCAGTACAGGAGTCTCCCATGCTAGTGACTTTGAGATGGTCTCTGACATATTTGAATTTGGGGATCAAGATGTGGGCAAAAGTGAAACAGGATGGGCTGAATTATGAGACCGGAGACCAAGGGATTAGGAGTTTGGTAAGGTTCAGTACTAATTCGGTCTCATCATCAAAACCTCAGGGCGATCAGGGTCTTCCCTTTCCTCTTTGGCCTCTCCATTCCGGAGCGGCCCACATCCCTGGTTGAAGTGTATCATTCCTTTTACTTTATGGGGTTCTCCTTTATCTTGCCTCTCTCCTATTTCCTACATAAAGCTACTTTAGTTATTGTCAGGCTTGTCTTGTGGGTTTTTTGTTTTGTTTTGTTTTGTTTGCTTTTTGGGTCACACCTGGCAATGCCCGGGGGTTACTTCTGGCTTTTCACTCAGGAATTACTCCTGGTGGTGCTCAGGGGACCACATGGGATGCTAGGAATCGAACCCAGGTCGGCTGCGTGCAAGGAAAATGCCCTACCCACTGTACTATCACTCCAGCCCCTGTTTTGTGGGTTTTTCTGGGGTTGTTGTTATTGTTTTATTTTTTGCTTTCCGTCCACACCCAGAGATGCTCAGATGTTACTCCTATCTCTGCACTCAAGAGTTACTCCTGGTGCATCAGTGGAAAGCTGGGGATTGAATCCAGGTTGATTGCATGCAAAGCAAGCATTCTACCTGCTGTACTGTTTCTCTGACCCCTATTGTCAGCTTTTTGAAAAGAAATATAGGTGATGATCAGATAGGAGTTGAAGATGGTAGGAATTATCTGTTAAGATTATGTAGAATGGGAGGAAAGAGAACCGAAGACACATTCTAGGAAAGTTTGCATTTAATTGATTATAGAAAGAAAGAAAGAAAGAAAGAAAGAAAGAAAGAAAGAAAGAAAGAAAGCTGAAAGAAATTGAGACGCAATCCAGGAAGATGATCAAGACCTAGGGAAAGAACCTGGTGTGCTTTGTATAGGTGTGCAACTGGAACCAAATTATTTCATTATTTTTAATTTAAGTTTTTTGTCATCATAACATTAAAATGTCATCAATATAAAATTTGTTAAAATTAAATGATAAAGGAGTTGGGGTTTGTTTTTTGTCCTTAAATTTTAAGTACAAATCTTAACCTCAGGCAGAAGTTCAAGCAAACACATTTCACCATGTGGTTTGGACCAAGACAGCACGAATCTAATAAGAGGAAATTTATACTGGTTTTGAAGATAATTAAAAAAACATTTCTTAATTCAGGTTATAGCATGGTTTTAGTACAGACATCATTTTTTAAAATATATTAATTTTGCATCTTAAGGTTGCAATTTTCTACTCTCTGGCATTGCTTAATATGTGTATTTTAGTTTTCACTGCCTTAGGCAACTTGGCATTTTTCTGCTAGCTAGCTTCTGGGTTCATAGCAGTAAACCCTATGAAGGCACACTCAACTTTTATTATGCTAAGGTTCGGTCTCTATTTAATTAAGGAATACATTAAATCTGAGTTCATGTGCCCAACTGTGCAAAAAAAAAAAAATCGTTTTATAACTATGTCTCACTGAACTTTTCCAGAATACATTGTTTAAAGATCAGTATATATAAGGAGGAAAGTATTTTATCAGTACGTTATGTGAGCTAGAGACACACTTTATAACAAAGGCTAACCTTCTGTAATATTGAATTCTATGACCGTGTTTGGTTTTTAAATTTTTTAAACACAGATTTTTTATTTTTAAGGTGGCAAGAAAAGAAACATTGCTTTCAGGCGGCAGCGTATGCAGATCGACGAGCCAGTCCCTCCCTCAGAAGTCAGTTCGTACCCTGTGCCTCAGCCAGATGACCCTTACATCGCAGACCTGCTGCAAGTGGCTGACAATCGGTGCAACAGCAATACTCTTTTTGTTGGCTTTCGCTAATTGGCCTCCGTGCTAACTCTGCATTTCTTGATAAGAGGCTCCTGTTTCCTTCACTGCCCTTTTAGCTTCGTGACTGTATTTTGAAAATGCAGTGCTTTCACTTGTCTTGAAACTGATTTCAAAATAGATGATAAATTTGTTGCTTCTGTCTATATTCGTTTGAAAATGATTGAGTACCTAACCCCTTAATTAATCAGAGTTGATGGACATTTAGTTTCATTTGCCAAGTGATTTTTTTGGTTTTCTTTTTAGGTGGGGAGGCATTCTATTACATCAGATTTATGTTTAGTTGCCAATGCTGAAGGGCATGGACACTTTTATAACTAGTTCTGAAATTCTTACTTTATGATTCTCTAGCTCTATATTTTTACTTCCCTAAATTGGAATCAGTTCTAAATTCTATTTTAATTCTTTATTGCATTCTCTGGACAAGGAACTCTTTTTTTTTTTTTTTTCTTTTTGGGTCACACCTGGCGATGCATAGGGGTTACTCCTGTACTCAGAAGTTACTCCTGGCGGTGCTCAGGGGACCATATGGGATGCTGGGAATCGAACCCTGGTCGGCTGCGTGCAAGGCAAACGCCCTACCCGCTGTGCTATCTCTCCAGCCCCTAGGAACTCTTTTTTTTTTTTTTAAATTCTCGTCTTTAACTTGAAGTACTGTGATTTGTAATACTGTTGATGATGGTTTCATTTGTACAAGATTCCGACACCACGCCCACCACCCACTTCCCTCCCCCTCTCCTTTACACGCTCCTCCCCTCCTGAACACTCAGTCTTTGGACCACCTCTCCACTAGTTTTTAAGGCTCCACTGATATCATTTCCTCTCTTTATCTTTTTTTCTCCTTCAAGTTTTTTTTTTTCCTATCAAGTTGTCATAGGTGGTATTTGTCTGAGTTATCTTGTTTGTACATGTACAGTTGGTTTGTATTAGTCATCTATGTACATATCTGAGTAGAGTTGATGCTTTTCCTAAACTAGATTAACAGAAAAAGTTTGTCCTAGGAGTAGCAGGGTGGGCTGTGTCCAGACTATTTATCCTACCCTGTGGAATGGCTGTCTTGAAAGCAGATCTGGCTTTTATCATTTAAAGATAATAGTGGTTGTTAATGCTTGGCAGAGATTGATGTAATATAAATACATTTGGGCAGTTTGAGAGTTCAGATAATTTAGACAAATTTTAAATCTGTTAGAATAACAAGTTCCAAAAAGGAAAGGTTCTGTGCTATATCACTTAGAAAATTTTACTCTTTCTTGGTATTTTTCTTCTCTGAAGGATTGCAGGGGTTGATTATTAGAAAAGAAAAGGTCAGGATCAGAAAACATTTTATTTATTTATTTTTGATTAGTTTTAGCCATACCCATTTGTACTCACTCCGGACTCTGTACTTGGGGAATCATATGCAGTGCCAGGAATCAAACCTGGGTTGGTTGTTTTCAAGGCAAACACCGTACCTGCTGTACTGTCTCTCCAGCCCGGAAACCATTTTAAACTCTTATTTTACATAATACAAATGTGATTTTGTACCAGACCCCCAATTTTCTGAACCATAGAATTTTATAGCAATACCTCAAAGGCAACTTAAAAGAGTTGTCCTAAGATCAAAATAAAATAATAGGTGTTTTATTGTGTAATGTATGGATTTCAAATTGTTTAGTATTTTTAAAATCTAACTCTATAAAAAGAAATCTCCAGTAGAATGTGTTCTATTTATGTATTTGTTTTGGAACCAACCTGGCCGCTGGTACCTCATGGAGAAATAGAAAGTAGAGAACATATAAAAGAATGCATTTTGTTATTTTATATTTTGTAATAAAGGCATATAGTGCATTAGTTATAAATGTGTTTCAGAATTCAAGAACTTCAAGAGGAAGTCTTCCAGTTACAAGAAAAGCTACTAATGATGGAAAGTGGACTAAGAGATTATAACACGCAGGTAGGATTCTCAATTACTTGCATTATAAGGGTTGAGAATAGGTTGCTGGGATTTTGTATGGATTTGGGTATATTTGATATCAATAAGTTTCTATATAGTTTTTATCTTTTTCATCAAATTTTGAGAGTTGATAATTGAAATGGCTCAGATGACGTTAGAGCACTATGGTCCTTTCCTTTGGTCCGTTATTGAAGTGAACAGTAGTTTTTTTGTTTCTGTTTTCCATTTAGGTGAATCATCTAGCTTCCCAAATGCCATTTTATAACTATATTCCTGTTTCTCTCTCAGAAGGTACTTTATTGAAGTGTGTGTGCTGTGCTTTATTTTAAATAGTTTTTACTCCGTTTTTTTGTCATTTCTCTGAACCTGAGTTTCTGTGAAAATTACTCTCCATTCTACCCTGTTCATTGCATGTTTTCTCTGCAGGCTCCAGGACCCTTTAGGGCTCTTTCCGAAGAAGGAGGATTACTCAGAGTTAGACCACAGGAAGCTTTGTCCCTTTATAGTTTCTGTGGTTGTCTTTACTAAATTCTGATTTGAATAATTATAGGCTATCTTTCTTAAATGCTAACTGAAGTTTAAGTGTGGGTAATGTGTTTTCCATTTCCTGAGAAACTGCCCTTTTTTTTTTTTGAGTAAAGTGATCTGCATGTGGAGTCTGGGTGATAGTCCAGCGGGTAGGGCATTTACCTTGCACATGGCTGACTCAGGTTCAATGCCCAGTATCCCATACAATCCCCTGAACATTGCCAGGAGTAATTTCTGAGTGCAGAGCTAGGAGTAACCCCGAGCATTACTGGGTGTGACCCAAAACTCAAGGAAAAAAAGCAATCTGCACATAAAAATATAGGCGTAGCGTGTTGATGTAATGTCAGCTTGTAAAGTGCTTTAAGATTATTTTGATAAAAATGGAATTTAAAAGACATTTTAATATTGTCAGTCAAAAAGCTTACTTTATGGAGAAATGATCACAATATCTTGAATTCATGAATTGAATTCTATTGCTATTTTTCAGTTTACTGTCATTTTTTTATCACATTTTTTTCTGAAGCAATTATGAACACGCACTGACCGTCTTGATCCTCTCAGAGAGGTGGCAAGGTGTTTGGTGGAAATAGCCTCATCATTTCTGCCCAGCTGCACAACTTTATTGTGTTTATTAATCTTAGCTGGGACAACTCTGCTGCCTCTCAGATTCTCTTTTGCATTTTTTGCTCGAGTTAATTTTTTTCTCAGCATACCTTCCCATTTTTACTGTTTCCAACTTACCATACCCCTCTCTCAAATACGACCTTATCTCAGCTTCCCGTCTGCTTTAATATTAGCACTTTGTACACTCAGACTGTCTTTGAGATTTAATGCTAGGATTTGACCCCAGGTTCTCTGTTCTTCCAAGGAAGCTTGCTTTAATCAATTACCGTTTTTTCTTTAATAAGTAGTTTGTATGGCCTCTTTACTTACCGTTTTTAATTTGATTTTTTAATTGAATCGCCATGAGATACAGCTGCAAAGCTTTCATGTTTAGTTCCAATCATACAATGATCAAACACCCATCCCTCCACCAGTGTACATTCTCCACCACCAATGTCCCAGGTATCCCCCCCCTTTCCAATCCTCCCCCTGCCTCCATGGCAGACAATTTTCCCCATACTCTTTCCTCTACTTTTGGGCATTATGGTTTGCAATACAGATACTGAGAGGTTATCACGTTTGGTCCTTTATAACCAATAGTTCTTTTCATCTTTGAAAAAGTCCTATGAAGAGATGCTGTTAGCATCACTAAAGGCCCTGAGCACGTCCTCTCTTGGCAGCCTTTCCCCCTCCACGCAAACTCCTTCAAACACTGCCTTGCTCTTGTGTGGTCCTTTCTTCACTTTCAGCTCACCCTGTGCTCTCATGGCAGTCTGCCTTCTGCACACCCCCTATTGATCTGTTAGTAATACTGGTGACATTAAGTACTCATACAGAAGTATCTCTGTAGTATTTATTTTCTTGACCCACTCTATTGTGTTTGTCATTATCGATCTTTTCTCTTAGAAATGCTTCCTTGACTTGACTTTCTTTGAAGTTTTCCTTTTGTAATCTTCTAATCATTTCCTCTTTCCTGTTTCCCTCAGCTTGATCTTTGAAATACTACTGTTTTCCAGAAGTCTGTCTTTGGCCTCTTTCCCTGCATGTTCTTGGTGTGAAATATTGCCGTGGATGACTAATTCAAACCTCTAGTGATCTCCAAATCCTTATCCCTAACTTCCCACTGAACTTGATGCCATCTTTCACAAATCTGATTTTATTCTTCTGTCTTATCTATTACTTTGGTTGGTAGCCTACATTCTGTAGTGTTTTGTTGTTGTTATATTTTGTTTTGGGGCTACACCCAGCTGTGCTCAAGGTTTACTCTTGACTCTGTGCTCAGGGATCGACTCCTCGAGGGGCTCAGGACCATATTGGATGCCAGGGATCAAACCCAGGTTGCCCACATGCAAGGCAAATGCCCTACTCACTGTACTGTTGCTTCAGCACCACCACTGTTTTATTTTAGGGCCTAATCATTTCTCATCATTTCTTACCCTGCTTATGATTTAAAAAACATTTTATTTACCTATACTTTTATCTGTATTATTATTTATTATTTGTTGTTCACTCATCATATCTACATAAAAACACACCTATAAGTACTTCCCCCCTCTTTTAAAATAACAACAAAGGGAGGGAAAGTGAAGACAAACATAAATGTCTTCTATATGCATTTTGTTTAATAATAATTAAACCTCTTCCCTAAGCTTTAGACTCATAGCACCAGGTGTTTTATTTGCTTTGCGGGGAGAATATTGAGTTATGCATGGAGGTACTTGAAGGCTATTCTTGGCTTAAGGGTCTCATCCTGCAATGCTCAGGGCAACATGCAGTGCTAGGGTTGGAACTCAGACTTCCTGGTGCAAAGTATGGTCTCAGCCCATTTAGATTTCTCTGGTCCCAATTTTACTCAACAACCCTGCTTATGATTTTATTTTATTTTTTTTTTGTCAATTTTTCCCTTTAGTCTAGAGTAATATTTCTCCTTAACAAAGTACTCATTGTTTATCATCATTAATTAGTACCTGCCTAATTAATTCTTCAGGCTCTTCTCCATCGATTAATATCCTTGTATTTTATAGTGGCCAGTCCTGTGAGCCATTCCTGCTCATTCAGAAGTACCTTGCTTTTCACCTCTGTGTCACTTTCCAACGCATCCCTCCTCTCTTTTCATGGGACGATTGATAAGATTTTTTATTTTTTTGACCTACTGGTTTTCACTTCACTAATTCCCACAGTCATGAATATATCTTGAAGAATAAATCAGTGTTTCCTTATTTGCTTTGGTACCATCTGCTATTCCTGTATTTTATAATTAAATAACATGTTAAACAGAAACTATTGGTTTACTGCTAGTTTTTCCTTAAAAACTGATTTTTTTGAAAGTTCAAGATCATATTCATCTTACTATATGTAGAACTTTGTTGAATGTTTATTGAATTGAATGCTTGATTTTTTTTTTGTTTTTAATGAAAGTGTGCACTTTCCAAAATTCTTGCATATAGATTATGTGAAGTCACATAATTGAGAGTGATTTTTCGTGTCTGCTGTTTTCTAAATAGTACATAATTAAATTCACCCTGACTGTCTGTCCTTTTAAGTATTGGGTTTCAGTAGCAGTTTACTATTTTCTTTGTGTTTTGCATTCATTCATTTATTCCACTTGTCTCTGAAGTAGGCCAGATTTTGTTTGAAAACTCAGTGTAGGTTTTTTTTGTCCTTTCCTTCCCTTCATCAGTGTTGTAATGGCTGGGGATACACACACACACACGCGTGCACACACTGTGTGTGCACACATTTTTCTGCTGGTGCTGTCTTTTGTGGATCACATATCTGGTTGTGGCATTCACACACTTAGCTGCAGCTCCACACTTTAATTGAGCTTGCATTTCTGCTCAGTGAATTCATACTCCTTTAGTTCTGGTGCTCCCTCACATTCTAGTTGTGCTGTTTACCAGAGGAAGTATGTGCTTTATCTGGAGCTCACAGTGCTGGGGAGGGGTGTCCCAATCCTGGCCATGGTGGCTGTGCTCCTACATCCCTTGAGATGTGATGCTTGCCAGGGGTCCCTCCCTTTGGTTGCAGTACTCACACACAACTGGGTGTGGGAGGTTGGAGGTCATGGATTCTAGTTCTGAGATCTTGGTCAGCATATGTGCACATCACTAGGCATTCATGACCTCATCCTTGTGAGACAGCTGCAGTTTTCCTTGGATTCCTAATGGTTTTTATATGAACAATTCCCAACCCTGATGGGAAATTAACTTGGACAAATCTATTCAGTTGTGATATATTATTAAAAATTATGTTGACAATTCTTCTTTGTTGTATTTTGACTTTGGGGGTCACACCGAGTGGTGCTCACTGGCTGTTCCTGGCTGTTTGCTCAGAATTCACTTCCAGCAGTGCTTGGGGGAACATGAAGTGCCAGGGATTGAAACCAGGCCTCCTGCATGGAAAGCGAAGCATGCACTTAATCACTTTTTTTTTCCTTTTTGGGTCACACCAGGCGATGCACAGGGGTTACTCCTGGCTTTGCACTCAGGAATTACACCTAGCAGTGCTCAGGGGACCATATGGGATGCTGGGAATCGAACCCGGGTAGGCCGCGTGCAAGGCAAACGCCCTACCTGCTGTGCTATCGCTCCAGCCCCAGCATGCACGTAATCTTCATGTCCAGCTCTATATTGACATTTTTGTTTGTTTTGGGTTTTGGTCCACACCTGGTGGGGCTCAGGACTTACTCTTCACTCAGGTATAACGCCTGGTGGTGCTGGGGAACCATATGAGGTGCTAGGGATTGAACCCGGGTTGGTTTTGTACGAAGTAGCTACCCTGCCTACCAGTCTATCTCTCCAGCCCCTATATTGACAGCTCTTACATTGACATTTCTTTGTTCCATTTTGCTCTGCATAAATGTATTTTAAATAGAATATGTGCTGGGTACATATTTAAATGTTAAGTTTTTATACACATTGTAAGAAACAAAAAAATGGGAGTATGTTCAGATTAATGTGTCTGGTATTATTTTGGTTGAAAGCCTGATTTTTTTTAATGATAACACAACTGTATGTCTTCAGATTGAGCTAAGAGAACGAGAGATAGAACGACTATCTGTTGCATTGGATGGTGGTCGCTCCCCTGATATCCTCTCTCTGGAATCTAGAAATAAAAGCAATGAAAAACTTATTGCCCAATTAAATGTTCAGGTAATTATTTCTGGAGTTATTTCATTGACTGTTAAAAATTTTACAATCCACACTTTTATAAAAAGAACAGGGTTATTCACTGAAAGTCTTATTTATGATGGGAAAATTTGATAGCCCCAGAATATACAGAAGAAATAATAGATACTGCAAAATCATGTTTTTAAGGAATGCTTACTAAGGCAGGAAAATACATACTATAATGTCATGTACTTAAGAGAATAAGCTATAAGAGAATAGCTATAAGCTATAAACTATAAGATTACAATGTAATCTTCAGTTTGCTTTTTTAAAATGTGTATGTAAAGGGCTCGAGATAACTCAACAGACGGAGTGCTTGCTCAGCCTTCTGGAAGCCCAGGTTTGATCCTAATCCTCTGAGCACTGCAGGAACCTCATTATACCCAAAGTACTATATCCAAAATCGGTCACGGTCATGGTCCTCCCGTTGTCCATCAATTTGCTCGAGGGGGCCCAGTAACGTCTCTATCATGAGACTTGTTGTTATTGTGTTTGGCATATAGAATACGTCATGGGTAGCTTGCCAGGCTCTGCGTGGGGGCGAGATACTCTCGGTAGCTTGTCGGGCTCTCCGAGAGGGGTGGAAGAATCGAACTCGGGTCGGCCATGTTGGCTGCTTGTAGGGCAAACGCCCTACCGCTGTGCTATTCCTCCAGCCCTACAATCAGTTTATTTATTTATTTATTTATTTATTTGCTTTTTGCTTTTTGGGTCATACCTGGTGATGCGCAGGGGTTACTCCTGGCTTTGCACTCAGGAATCACTCCTGGCAGTCACTCAGGGGACCATACGGGATGCTGGGAATCGAACCTGGGTCGGCTGCGTGCAAGGCAAACGTCCTACCCGCTGTGCTATCACTCCAGCCCCTCTACAATCATTTTAACATATAATAAATATTGTGATAATGCCACTGAGATATTTTCATTCCCTTTCTTGTACAAAGTCTTTGAAATCCTACATATGTATCATCTTTATATTTCAGTTTGAATTGGCCATATTTCAGATGCTCAGCCAAATATGCTATCTAAAAGTCTAGAATGATATCATTATTATAGAGACTTTCTTGACCTAATTGTGGAATTATTCTTAATTCTCCCCTAGCATTGGGGAGAATTTCACAAATTGCCCTTTCATGCTTGAAAATTGAAGTCCGTGAATATTTATATATACATATATATTTTTTTAACCATGTAGTGTTAGATTTTCAAATCAAAACAACATAAGTTCGCTGGCTGTGGATGGGGCTGAGTGTTAGAGCACACCCCTTGTGTGTATGAACCCCGAGTTCTAACCCCACATACTACTTACTGAGCAATACTGAGTGTGATCCACAGCTTTGCAGCATCTACAAAGCAATACATGTTTGCAAAGGTGAATTAGTTGTGGTTTTAATTTTTAGTACTTAAAACATAGTATTTTGAAATATTTTGGAAGTTGCTTATTTAGGGTAATTTTCTTGATTCTTAATCTTGTGAATTATAAATTCAATTTAGGTTGACTTTCTTCAGCAAGCTAATAAAGACCTGGAGAAGCATGTACAAGAGCTTATGGAAACCAAGGAAACAGTAACTACTGAAGTTGTTAATTTAAGTAACAAAAATGAAAAACTCTGCCAAGAATTAACAGAAATCGACCAGCTAGCACAGCAGTTGGAAAGGCATAAAGAAGAGGTGCTTGAGACCGCTGATAAAGAGCTTGGGGAAGCAAAGGTGAGGCAGAGATGCGGGATTGTCCATTAGTGCTCTCAGGACCTAGTGAACCTGAGTATCTGGAATCAGGTTTTTTGCTTTCCTTGTTTTGTAATTCTACATTTTCTGAGATGTACTTTTAGATGTTCCATGTCTTTTTTTTTTTTTGCATTTTGGGTCACACTTGACAATGCACAGGGATTACTCCTGGCTCATGTACTCAGGAATTACTCCTGGCAGTGCTCAGGGGACCATATGGGATGCTGGGAATCGAACCCGGGTCAGCCATGTGCAAGGCAAATGCCCTACCCACTGTGCTATTGCTCCAGCCCCATTCCATGTCTTTTCAAAGCTCACCTGTGCTTAGGATAGCTCTCCATATCAGATTTGGGGCTCCACATGCCAGGCATACTCTCTAGACCTTTCACTAATTTATTCCCAGGCTCCCCTCCAAGTATTTTTTCAAATTATTGTATGTCTTTGCACACTTTAAGTTGGTTATAGCATTTTTGAACTTCAAGATGCAAAGGCTATAATTTCTAGTTTAGTGTAAGTAATTTTTTAAAATAAAATTCAATCATTCTGTGAACTGTAGCCAGTGGGGGACCAAGGATATAGCTTTAGTAGGAGCATATGCCTAGCATTGACCCCGAGTTCAATCCCTAGCACTGCCTGCACCCCTAATAGTCTATCAAATAGACAAGATAGATAAGATGAGATAAAGGCCTGAGCACTTTCCTCTAATGGTAACATAGAGATGGGATAGAGAGTCAGTTGGATCCAGATGATCCTTCTTTCTCTGTGAAATCCCCACAAGATGTTATTTTAAGTATCTCTGCAAAAAAAAAAAATACATTAATTGAAGTGACTAGAAGGTCCAAAGTATTAACAAAAAAGTAAAATTGTGGGGCTGGAGCGGTAGCACAGCGGGTAGGGCGTTTGCTTTGCACACAGCCAACATGGCCGACACAGGTTCGATTCCCAGCATCCCATATGGTCCCTTGAGCACCGCCAGGAGTGATTCCTGAGTGCATGAGCCAGGAGTAACCCCTGAGCATCGCCAGTGTGACCCAAAAAGCAAAAAAAAAAAAAAAAAAAGTAAAATTGTGGGCTGGAATCGGTTCAGCAGATCGGACATTTGCGATCAACCTGTGTTCTATCTATCCCTAGCATCCCGTGTAGTCCTCCGAGCTCCTCCAGGAGTAATTCCTGAGTGCAGAGCCAGCCAGGAGTAACCCCTGAGCATTGCCAGGTGGGATCCAAATAGGAAAAAAAAAAAAAAAGAAAAGTAAACTAAAACTGTATTGGATATACCTTTTTAGAAAATTAAAATTGTGAAAGAAAACAGAAATTGTGAGAAAAGCCTTTTGCCAGTCCCAACATTTCAGTTTCTCTTTTTGTCTACTTCAGTTCCCCCCACCCCTACCACTCCCCCCTTCATCCATACCCAGCAGTGCTCAGGGCTTACTCCTGGCTGTGTATTCAGGAACCAATAGGACCATATAAGATGCCAGGGGTTGAATCTGGGGTCCATTGCATGCACATGCAAGGCAATCACCCTTCCTGCTCTACTATCTCTCTGGCCACTAAAAGTATTTTTATATCATGAGACATTGTGCCATTGAATAAATTCCTTTCTTCTGAAAAAGAGTAAAAGGCTATGGATATGGGGAAAGGGAAAAACTTACCTTTTACCCACTCCACAAAGAGTTCCTTAAGTAAATAACTTTTATTTCCTACTTTTATTTCTTTTGTGTTTTGGGCATATCCAGCAGTGCTTACGACTTATTCCTGGCTCTGTGCTCAGGGATCATTCCTGGCAGTGCTGAGGGACCATATACAGCACCAGAGATCAACTGGGATTGGCCACATACAAGGCATGCACCTAAACCTCTATCTCTCTCGCCCTAATTTTAAGAATTTTATGTATATTTCTACAGGTCCTAAGGTATTAAGATGTTTGTGACTTACAGCTGGGTGAATACTATTGGGGTTTTACATATTCTGGAAAAACTTTGTTCTTCCAAAGTTGGTATCTAATTTGAAGACTGCTACTTTTTATAATTGAATTAATTTTCTACATGTCATCTCCACTAATTTTTTTTTAATTTTTTCATCTTTTTTTGAATTTTTTATCTTTATAAAGTTGTTCACAATAATTTATTACATTTGATGTTCCAACACCAATCCCACCACCATTATACCTTCCCACACCTTACCATATTTTGAATGTTTCCATCCCATCTTCCAAACCCTTCTCCGAAAAGAGGACCTAAATAGTTTATTTTGTATTGTTATGAATAAACCACTGAAAATGATCCTAAAAAGTTTCTTTAGAGGAAAGTAGGTAAATTATCTCACCCCGGAGCCATTAAACCTTTGTATAAGAGATTACTAATATGTTGTTAAACCTTTGTGTGTGTGTGTGTGTGTGTGTGTGTGTGTGTGTGTGCGCGTGTATGTGCGCGTACACGTATTTTTTTTCTCCAAAAGACTGATTGCCTTCTACTTTACACTCCCATCAAATGTGGTGTGCTACTCTTGGTACATCAGTGGTGTAGAGTATAAGATGGGGCATGGCCACATTTGTAGCCACATGCTCCAGGAATTCTAAAATTTTAAATATGATAAATCTGAGGTTAATTAAAAAAATTTTTTTTACACTGGATGGTGACTTTGGGGTCCGGAGACATCTCTGTAGAGATCAGCCATGGCATGCCATGTGGCGACATCTCTGTGGAGATCTCTGTAGCATGTCACCCTACTAATTTCTTGAATAGAAGAAAACTGGGTCAGCATAATAAAAAGTTATACATGAGACATCCACAGCCAACCTTTACTCTGTGGTGAAAGACTGAGGCATTTCCTCATAGGTCAGGGACAGACAAGTATGCACATTCTCACTCCTGCTGGTCAACAGAGTACTGCAAGTGCTAGTCAGAGCAGGCAGGCAAGAGAGAGAAAGAGGCATGCAAATTAGAAAGGAAATTTATGTTTCTAGATATCATAATCTCATATATAGAAAAAGAAAATCCTAAAAACACAGCAAAACACAGATATGAATTAACAAGCACATTCAGCAAAATTGCTAGATATAAAAATCAATAAAAATTAGGTACATTTCTGTACATTAGTAATTAACAGTCCAGAAAGGAAACTTATATAAGGAAACTTATATATAAAGTTTATATATATCTAAACTTATATAGGGCTGGAGCGATAGCACAGCGGTAGGGTGTTTGCCCTGCATGCAGCCAACATGGCCGATCCGAGTTCGATTCCTCCGCCCCTCTCGGAGAGCCCGGCAAGCTATCGAGAGTATTCGATATACCAGACACAGTAACAACAAAGTCTCCAATGGAGACGTTACTGGGCCCGCTCGAGCAAATTGATGAACAACGGGAGGGCCTTTACCTTTACCTTTATATAAGTAGTCCCATTTATAGTAGTATCAAAAAGAATGAAAAACAGCAATAAACTTAGTTGAAAGATGCTGCACACACTAGAAATTATAAAACATTGTGGAAAGAAATGGAAAGATTTTATTGTTATGTTTGGTGTTGGAGGACAATATTTATTATACAAGTGTCCAGACCGTCCAAAGCATTCTATCAGTTTTATTCCATCCCATTTATGTTGTCTGCAGAAACAGAGAAAAAGCCTAATGAGTTTCATATGGAACCTTTGAGAGATCCAAGATTTTTTTATGGCCACTGAAAACGCTATTTAAAATGGAGTTTATATAGGTGTGTGGTATTGGAATTATGTGCATGGGAAACTGTCCTTACTAGTATTATAAATCAAAGAACCAGTCAATTAAGACGGTTAAAACAAAAGGAAAATGAACATATTAGTACCATTTTAATTCTTCTTTTGTGACTTGAGTTTCATTGCAACACTGTATCTTTTTCTCTCCTTAGATTCTTGTATGCTCATGCACATACCATCCAAAATAAGATTTCTTGTGTGCCATTGGCAGTGCTCAGACATGACAGCTTGTCTCAACAGAAACATTTTTATCTTGGCATTCAGTATTCTTAGTATGGAGGATCTTGGTTGGTAGTATTAGGTTGGGAGATAGCAAGTAGGATAGGAGAATCCAAAATGACAATGACATAAAGTGAGTTTAAAAGACACAAGAAAGTTTATCCAGTACAGGAAAAATGTTATTTCCAAGAGCCCTTCTTTTTTATTTTTTTCCTACTTATAGACATTTAAGTGTAAGCACACACTGTAATCACTAATTTTATGTAAAAATTTTTAAAGACTTTTTATTGACTATCCAAAGCTGTTCATAATAGGGTTTCAGTCATACAGTGATCCAACACACATCCCTCCACCAGTGTATGTTTCCCACCACCAATGTCCCCCGTTTCCCGCTTACTATTCCCCAATGCCCCCAGCCTGCCTTTAAGCCCTTCTTGTTTCAGATAGTATAAAAAGGTTCTTGTAAGTATTTTAGGGTGCAAAGAAACTGAAGAAAAGCCCTACTGTTTTTCACATCTTACTGAGAAATGGGAATATAAACTTGAAACGTGACCTTGTCTTATTTGCTTAATTGGGAGACAGTGATAATTATTCTTGACTTTTAGGTGTTTACCTAATAGATTTTTTATTCCTAGAAAGAAATTAAAAAGAAACTCTCTGAAATGCGGAGTCTTGAAGAAACAATGAGAAAACTTGAACTGGTAAGTAAATGTCATATGAAGTAGCTCCAGAATTAGTGATTTTTTTTTTGCTGTATCTGTTTATAACTGAGATTATCTACACATTACAGTAGTTATTTAGGTCTGTGGCTTATTTTCATGTAGTCGCAAAGTAGCACAACTGTCACTCTTGGGTGATTATACAGTCAGTAGGTTGTTTGCCTCGTACATAGCTAACCCAATTTCAATCTTTGACAATCCCATATGGTCTCTGGAGTACCAGAGGAGTGATCCCCTGAAGCAGAGCCAGGAGTTAATCCTGAGCATTTGCTGGGTGTCACCCAAACACACATTTACACACCAAAACAATCAAAAAACCCACCTCAATGGGCTGGAAAGATAGTACAGCAAAGGGCACTTGCTTTGCACATGGCTGATCTGGGTTCGATTACCAGCACCCCATATCATCCCCCTATACCACCAAAAGTAATTCCTGAGTATAGAACATAGAGTAACCCCTGAGCATCACCAAGTATGGCACAAAAAACAAAAAAGCCTCTGTTCTTGGGATGGAGGGATAGCTCAGCTGGTTGGACCACATGCTTTGTGTGCAAAAGGATTGGGTGCTCTCACCAGCACAGTGTGATCCCTGAGCCCACTGGGAGTGATCCCCAAGTACCAAGCTGGGGGTAAACCCTCAACATTGCTGCCTGTGGCCCAAAAACCAAATAGTAATAATTTTGACTGATACTACAAACCTTTTTCCTGGTCATGTTGTTTTCTGATTATCTTCAAATGAGAAGACTAGTAGTTGTTGTAGCACAAACCTAGAGATAACCACAATCTAGAGTTGTTGGGCTCTTTTTTATGATTTTATAACCAGTCTCTTAATATTTGGGAAGGCGGACTCGCAGCCACCTGGGTTACACCTAACAGTGTTGTGGGAGAAATGTGGTGCCTGGGGGTAAACTTAGGGCCTCACACATACAACGCCTGGGGTCAAACACCTGAACCACTCTCCAGTCCCTCTCATCTCCCCCAGATTCTAGGATTGGGAAAAAGAAAATCTACTTCAGGTAGAAATTTCCGGGAGGTTACCCCAAAAATTATTATGTATATAGTAGCCTGTTAAATGAGTTTTTACTAAGATTGGAAACCAAGTCTAATACTTTTTCCCTCAAGTTTTTTAGTTACATACACTCATTTTTACATACACTCTTTTTTGTTTGTGTTTTGGCGGCCACTCCTGACTCTGCTCAGGGGCCACTGTAGGTGGTGCTCAGGGGACCAGATGTGGTGCTGGGAATCAAACCCTGGCTTGGCTATGTGGAAGGCAAGTGTGTTATCCACAGTACTAGCTTTCCAGCCTTATACATACTCTATACTCAGCGTGAGTATGAGTACTCACACTGCAGTGGCATAAAGCAGAATAAACAGCAAATCTATTGTAATGTGCGTGCATCAGTGCTCAAATAATGGTTGAATTTTGTGTGCTTACACTGAACAACATATCACGGTGTCTTTATTTTCTTTCTTTATTCAGCTATTTTTGTAGGTATTCGGTTCAGGCAGTTGAACAATTGCCTCAGCAGCCTGAGTAAATCTTGCCTACTCCCTTTTTATTGCTGTCGTGGGCTCTGCCCCCTGCAGTGCTCAGGGACTACCCCGACCATATCCTTCCAGGCCATGGATCTGAAGGCTGCACACATGCAAGGCATTATTCTACCATTTGAGCTACATCACTGGGCCCTAAGTGTTGCCTTCTTTTTGTTTGTTTTAATTTGTTGGTCAGTCGGTTGGTTTGGGGCCACACGTGGCAGGCAGTGCTCAGGGCTTACTTTTGGCTATTTACTCAGTGGTCACTCTCGACAGGTTTGCGGGACATCTGGGGTGCCAGGGAGGGGATCAAAACCAGGTCAGCTGCATGCAAGACCCGCTTCCTACCTCCACTACTAGAGCTTCAACCTAAATATTGTAGCATCTTTCCGTGGAGTCAGGAAACAGGTAAATGTTTTGATCATGTTTCACTGCAATGTGAGCTCAAACTCCTTGAGGCCAGGAAATTTTGCCGTTTGTAGGTGAACATGATTCATAATGCTTGTCTCACACTGAAGCTGAGTTTCAGTAATGCTGACAGGTAGTAAGATACTGATGTGACCTGGTTTTGATCCTTTTTCTTATTTTTCCATTAGGGTTATATTTTATGTATTAAGATAGATACTAATGATACTGATAGCTAACACTTACTAGGCAATTCCCATGTACTTGATGCTGAAGAGCATTTTGCATTCATAGATTTCATTCTTACTAGTGAATGAATTCTCCGTGTTCAGATACTGGTCTTAGCCCCATCATGCAGGTAAGCCTGAGAGAATAATCGTGTCTTGAGTACCTATGGCAGTCTGAAAGAACTTTGGCATACTGTTGCTCTCCTTTCAACATATGAAAGCTTGTAGAACTTTCACTATGCAGGTCCATACTTGTTTTTTAAAATAGGACAAATATAAAAAGAAATTCTAATAATACAACAATTCAGCAAGGAGCCTGTTGACATCTGAGTTGTATAATGCTTTAAGCACAGTGATTTTAATTGAAGTTAAAAGTTAGTGTGTATATAAATAACTTTTAAATAATGTGCTTGGGAATGATGACAAACCCTTGGCCATTGATTGCACAACATAATTTAACAAGCAGTGGGGGTGGGGGAGGGTGGGAAGGTAGAATGAAGAGGAAGGGAGAATCTTGGGCACTTTGGTGGTCGTGAAGGGGCAGTTACTTTGAATAGACCATGAAGGTTAACAGTATTATAAGCGTAACTCTAGCACCCAAACTATAGTAGCACTGTAGCACTGTCCTCCTGTTGTTCATCGATTTGCTTGAGCGGGCCCAGTAACATCTCCATTATGAGATTTGTTGTTACTGTTTTTGGCTTATTGAATACATCACAGGTAGCTTGCCAGGCTTTATAAAGTGAATAAATAAATGTGTGTAGGCCAGGGAGGTAGCCCAAAGAACTGGAAATCAAATCTTGTGTTATGTGCATGAGACCCCAAGTTGGGTCCCTGGAACTTCATGGCCCCCTGAGCGTTGCTGGGGGTAGCAGTGGCGGCTTCTGGGGGCACTGAGAATGGCCATGGACCCCCAAACTCTGCTTGAGAGATGCTCCAAAATTCTCCCAAATAAAAATAAATGTGTTTACAAAAATATGTCTTTTAAGGGCTATACTATTTTACAAAGTTAGAAATCTTAATTATGGTATAAAAATTTGCAGGAATTAAGTTTATGTCATAAAGAAAAGGAGAGACTGAATGATGAGCTCCTAATAAAATCAGACCTAGAAACTGTTGTTCATCAGCTTGAACAGGAGAAGCAAAGACTTTTAAAAAAAGTTGAAAATTTCACAGCAACAGGTACGTTTTAAAACACTGATAACCTAAAAATGATAGCATTTTCCTCTTTGTGTGGTATTGTTTTTGTTATTGGATGATTTTTCATTCCTTTACCTGGTAATTATTTGTTGAATGGTTGCTGTATACCAGAATCCTAAGTAGACACTGAGATGAAGAAGGAAGTCTCTTCCTCAAGGACCTTACAGGACTCATTTATATTCTGAAGGTTTGGTTCAGGGAACCCTCCCTGCTTGAATCTTTTCCTGTAGATATATATCCTTATTTTGTGACAGACTGATAATAGACTAAGAGGAAGACGAAAATAAAATTGTGGGTAATTGAAGTACAGAATCTTTCTAAGGAAATGCATTTTGTATCACCTTGGGGATATGTACGCACACACAAACACAATTGAAGAAAGCTCCCTTTCTGCCAGGTGCAATGTAGAATGAATTCGTTTAAGGACCATGTAAGAATTTACTTGTTATTCATTTGACAGGTAAGTTCCATCGATGGTGTCTGAAAAGGCACAATTCTACTTTGTTTTAGTAGAATTCTGTTGTCTGTGCTATTGCATATATATATATATATATATATATATATATATATATATCTTTGTCCAATCATCTCTCTGGGTAGTTATTATGGACCTTGAGATTGTTTCCATGTCATTGTGTATGGAGAGGTTGCGGGAGGTGGAGGGAGTGCTTGGAGGGTGTGGTGGGCCACACCCCATATGCTTTTTAGGAGCTACACCCAGCTCTGTGGCCAGAAGTTATTTGTGGACCATATGTCCGTATGTGGTGCCAGGATCAGACCAATCTCCTTCATGCAGAGCATGTTCTCAGCCCCTGGAGCTGTTTCTTCTGCCCTCTTCTCTTGACTGTGTCAAATAATGCTGTTTTCATGTCTTGACTTGGACATGTGCTATTTATTATGTGCATATGGATACCTAGATCTTTTTGAATTAGTATTCTCATATCCTTTGGATAAGTGCCAAGGAGTGGTAATGCAAAAATACAACACTTCAGCAAGTTTTATTTTCTTAAGGAATCTTTATACAATAAACTATCCCTAGAGGTAATGTTGATTTTACATGTGTTCTGTTTTTGTTTTGGGGCCACACCTGGGGGTGGTCAGGAGCTACTCCTGGCTCTGTGCTCGGGGATCACTGCTGGCAGGCTGGGGGACTAGATGGGCTGCTGGGGATTGAACCTGGGTCTGCTGCGTGGCAGGCAAGTGCCCCACTAGCTGTACTACCTTTCTGGCTCCTGATTTATATTTCTAAAAGAGTTCAGCAACCCAAGCATAACAACTTGTAAGTCTACAACTGTACCTTATGGTGTTTCACTAACAACAACAACAACAACAACAACAAAAATTTTAGATGACTAGTGATACTAAAATCAAAGGGACGCAGACCAGAGAGAAAGCCTGACAGGCTGGAGTGTGTACTTTGCCTGCCGGAGGTCCAGCCTGGGTTTGATCTCTGGTACCACTTGGTCCCATGCACCAAGTAGGGAGTAGCTCTTGAGCACTGAGAGGTGTGCGCCCAACCAGAAATAAAAGATAGTGGGTTGGTGTGCTGATGTAAAGGCTCTCAGTGACGAGTCCTCAGCCACATGGAAATCTGCTGACCACATTTTGCAGACAGAGGAAATGTAAGCGCAAAAGCATGTTGCTATCAGACTCCCATCTGTCACAAGATTGAAAGGAAGCCAGTGTGCTGTTTTGTTGTTGTTCTTGTTGTGGGGGGGCCAAACCTGGCGGTGCATGGGGTTCATACAGTTCCGGGGACCAAACCTAGGGTCTCATATATACAAGTTCGCAGCCCCCAGTCTGCTGTTGTAGGAAGAGACGACATATAACCAAGGCTTTTCAGCATCCATCTTCTGTCTTTGAGCTCTACTTCACTTTGTTTTTGTTTGGGGTGACATTCAGCAGTTCCCAGGGCTTACTCTGGCTCTGTGCTCAGGAATTACTCCTGGCAGTGCTCAGTGGACTATATGAGGTGCTGGGGATTAAACCCAGGTCAGCCATGTGCAGGACAAGCATCCTGCCTGCTGCACTGTCTACAGCTCCCTTACTTCACTCATTAGCTGTCTGATTTGAACTGGCTTGACAGTGTTACTAGAGCTCTGCTTCTATTTCCCTCCCAGTAGGGTTAATGGTGCCCCTAACCAGAATGTTAAGATGAAGTGCTTAGAGCAGTGTATGAAACTTTGTAATTTATTTTGAGAAACTTAGGATATTTTGTGTCTTTTTACCTTTACAGTAGCACTGTCCTCCCTTTGTTCTGTTCTTTGCTCGAGCAGTATTTAAGTTTAATGTTAAAATTGTGCATTTTGTTATAGTTTGTAGATAACATTTCTTTTAATGCGTTTTTCAAATCACCAGGAAGTACCATGTGGTAATTGATTGCTTCATTCTTTTGTGCTTGTGATAAGACAGGAACAAGAGGACTCGCTGGATTTTTTCCTTCCTTTTGGGGGCTGGTCTCCCAGTGGTGCTCAAGTGACCTGGGGGCCCCCTTCCAGCTGTGCTCAGCCACTGGGCAGCAGTTCGGTACTAGGGGTGTATGGATGCAGTGCGGGGGTCCCTGGGGGTGCTCAGGGATTACAGGGCCACCCAGCTGTGCTCAGGGGCCTCCAGGGCCACAGCCAGCAGAGCTTGGGAGGCAGTGTGGTGCCAGGGATTGAACCTAAATTGGGCACAATTACCTTATACCATCTCTCTGGCCTGCTGAAAAATTCTTGATTTTTGTAGGACCAAGAAGATAGTTTAGGGGTTAAGATTCATGCCTTGAATGCAACCAACCTTTCTTTGATCTCCTGTACCACTGGGCCTTGAAAGTATTATAGCATGCCACCAACACACACACACACACACACACACACACACACACACACACACACACATACACGCACACATGCACATACACATGCACGCATGCATGCACACACGCATCCTTTGAACATGCCACTGCAGGTTGTGAATAGCAGCATGCTCTTGAACATGTCTACTGAATGGACTTGTAGGGCATAACTTGGGGGAACTTCTACCCCCCCTCAGCATGTATTTTGTTTTAAATTTTTTCTCTCTCTTTTCTACTCAGTACAGTATGTACCTCTTTGATATGTGGTAATAGGCAATATGCAAAATAGTGAATAGTTTTAGTAGCTTTTTATTTTATTTATTTTTAGTAACTTTTTTAATTCCAAAAGCAGTTAATATAACTTGTTGACTAATTATGCTTTTTACATAGGTATGCTTTTTACATGGATGTTGTTCTAAGATTTAATTGCCTTAATTTTCAGAAAGAGAACTTACTTTGGAAGTTGAGAGAATGAGGCTAGAACATGGAATAAAACGTCGAGACAAGTCACCTTCTCGTTTAGATACGTTTCTGAAAGGTATAGAAGAAGAACGAGATTTTTATAAGAAAGAACTTGAAAGACTACAACATTTAATACAGCGAAGATCTTGCTCTGTAAATTATTTTGCACGTGAAAAATGTTCAACATTTAAAACACCAGAAAAGGTAATACCTCCTTAACACTGTAGCACTGTCCTCCCCTCCTTCATCGATTTGCTCCAGCAATGTCTAACATCAAATTGTGAACTTGTCGTTACTATTTTTGGCATATTGAATACATCACGGGTAGCTTGACAGGCTTTGCCATGTGGGCAATGTACTCTCAGTAGCTTGCTGGGCTCTGCGAGAGGGGCGGAGGAATCGAACCCAGGTCAGCCACGTGCAAGGCAACACCCTACCCGCTGTGCTATCACTCCAGCCCAATACCTCTGTATGAGTAATTAATATGACAAGATAGTTTCTTTATGAGCAAACATTTCTATTTTTTCTACTGTATATAATGTAACCTTTTTCATGCTTGTTTTTAAAAAGTCTTAATTTAAGTTTTCTCCAAAGTCTTAATTTAAGTTTTCTCCAATGACCCTGCTATAGGAAACTGCATTAATTTGGAAAACTACTTAAGAATATAACATAAGTTAGAACATACGTTATATTAAGTATAACATACTAATTCTTGAATAAAAATATAACACTACTGACATTAGGGAACGATTATATCATTCATAATAGGTATGATAGAATTGCAGAGCACCTGGGCTTCCAGGAATTGAAATTAGGAGTGCATGCTTATTTAATATTCCCCCTTTTCCTGGCCTTTAGTTTTCAGCTGCATTTTTTTCTCTCAAAGTGGCTTTTCTACATGTTGCCTGGCTTCATGCTATTCCCTGCCTCTCATCACTCAGAAAGCCGAGTGTCACATGGGACAACTGGATCACATTGTGCACAGTTGTCTCCCGTGTTTGACTTGCTGCAGGTGATGTAGACATTGGAATTGGGTACTGGGCGGGTCCATTTGCCCAGTATGCCACATTTACAAGTTGATAGACTAAAGAAAGATGTAGGTATGTCAATTCGCCGGGGTTTCTGAGATGTAAAAATCGGTGTATATAATTTAGGTCTTTACTATTTTTGTTTTTATGAGTATCATTTCTGTTTCTTAGATTTTCCTTTACTTTCAGTGTTGGAGTTGTTGCAGTCCTGAAGGCTGTCATGAGCCTAACATTATCTGCAACTAGATAAAATTGGGGGATGTAGCAGTAAAGTCTTCGTTGATTTCAGACTTGTTTGAATTTGCCAGTTCTGACTTAGAAGTGCCAACCTGCTGGTCTAATGATTGATCATACTTAGATTCTGCCAGTACCAGCAATGCCAAGAGAGTGACCATGGAAGCACCCGATAGTTGTATTGCAAGCAGCCAAGTCCCTTCCTCTGAGGGCAAGGCCAGAGAAATTGCCCAGTCCAGCCACCACTCTCCTCTGCTGTCATTGGAATCAAAGTTGCATTCCTTAATTACATAAAAAGGACGTGCGTTCTTTTTGTTTGTTGGCATCTTTCATCCTCATCATCGGCACCCATATGACAACCATGTGGCAATAATTATAACAAATTAATTATAACAAATGATAGCGTCTGTTTTAAAATTATGCTTCAGGGTAATTACGATTCAGAAATTCTTCTTATGAAAGGAAGAGATGAACTTCAGCATATGCTTACAAAGATGTGGAAAACATGGAGCCCGAAGTTTAATTCTTATTTCAGTGTGGGCACAACTTTGGTTAAGAAATAAGGAAGGCCTAGATTTTTCTAGGAATGCAGTAAGGTTGTTTAGTAATGGTTGACCTGGGTGCCAGGTCACTATCAGTGCTCACAAGAAGCTAAATGGGCTTTGGTCAGTCTTGTCGCAGGAAAGATCCAAGTTTAGCTTGTAGGACTCAGAGTTCATTTGTCATTCAGTTTTGCTCCTTATCCCTGAGTCCTTATCATAAATCCTTGTCAAGTGGTCACTCAGGCAGTGGGGGCACTTGACCCCTGATGAAGGTAGTCCAAGGGGAGGGAGTCAGAGCCAGTCTTGCATTTCTCACAGTGTAGTTGCAGTGCCTCAGGTTATGTGACTTGCTTGTCCAAAACATGGATTCCTTGATTACATCCTGGCTCCAGAATGCCTGGGATGGTCCCAGAAATCAGCCCCTTCTCTTTTTTCTTTATAGTTGACTTATGGCAAGCTAGTTTTAGATAGACTAAATATGTCAGTTTTTGTACATATTGTGAATATTGTGGAAGATTACCATGGTAAGTCAGATTAACATTCATCACTGTACCTAGTAACGAGAGAGAGAGAGAGAAAGAGAGAGAGAGAGAGAGAGAGAGAGAGAGCGAGCGTAAAATGAACTTTTAAGATTTATGCTCAGCAACTTCCAAATATAAACTGTAGTATTATGGGGCTGGAGAGATAGTAAAGTGGATGAGGTGCTTACCCTGTGCGCGCTGAACCCAGTTTCATCCCCAGCATCCCATATGGTCCCCAAAGCACTGCCAGAGTAACCCCTAAGCACAGTTGAGCATGGTCTCCTCCCTCCCCCCAAAATAAAATACACTATTATTACTGATGGTCCCCATGCTACACACGGATTGCCACCACAACTTATACCTGGAAGTTTCAGGCATTTTCACCCATTGACCTGCCCCACTCATTCCCATTCCTGCTCTAGTAATCTCCAGTTATTTCTCTGTGTCCAGGAGCTTGGATTTTTGTTGTTTCTTTGTTTTGTTTTGGGTTTTCCCCCTTTAATATGTGTATAATTACAACAGATAGTAAACTCTTTTAAAATTATGTTTCAGGGTGATTATGATTCAGAAATCAATGCGATCACAAGAGAAAGAAATGAACTTCAATATATGCTAGAAAGATTTGAAAAACATATGGAGGATATACAATCCAATGTCAAGATCCTCACAGCTGAAAGAGATAAACTAAGTGCCTTATATAATGAAGTAAGAAATCGGTTCTAAATTAGCCAGCTACTATGATAGAAAGTATACCCTTTATGTCACTAATATGTGGATTCTGTGACTTTTCTTTGTAATTAGAATATTAGCAATAGTGTCTACCGTCATGTTCTGAAAGAAAAGATTTGTTATTTTCTGTGTATATTCTCCCTCTTTTCTAATATGTGTGTCATGTCAGAGATATCCTCTTCTTTTAAAATTACTGGGGGCAGGTCTCAGCCCAACTTTGAGCTAAGTTTATCTTTTGGATTCAGATACTTTATGTTCTGCTTATCAAATGGTAGTGTCTCCTGTTGGGATAGATGGGGTATTAAGAACTTACCTCTAGGGGAAAGTAAACCTGTAGGCTTGGCCCAGTTGATAGAGCCTCACCTTTCAGAGTGATTCTGAACAAAGCATAATGTCTGTTACTAAATTTATTCTTATACTGATCTCTTTTGAAATCACACTGCTACTTTAAGACACAGAAGGGTATGCAGATTCAAAGGTTAAGGTGAAAAGGCTGTTGACATTTGGGGAGAGCCTGCCATATAAATTAATCTTTTGTCCTCTCCCCACTTTTTGGCTTAGATTCCAGCTTTCTTGAGTCTGCCTAATTACTAGTTGTCCCTCTCCAGCTGGTTTCCGGTTCCTCAGTCTCCTTTACTCTTGTTTGTATCGTGACTATTATTTTAGTCCTTTTAACCTCTCATTTTGGAGGGATGTTGGGAAGAGAGCAAAGGTGGCATAAATTTACATTTTTTATTTTGAAGGTCGGAGTGTGTTAGTGTTACTTGCATCTTTAAATTTTTTTTAGGCCCAGGAAGAATTAGCTGTACTGAGACAGTCAGCTTCCATCACAGACCCCCAGGATATTATTAGTCTTATGGAGAAGGAAAAGGAACTTGCAATATCTGATCTAAGAAAGATCATGGCTGAAAACGAAGCTTTAAAAGGAAAGTTTAAAGTAAGTGTTGAGATTGACTCCTAAAAGGTAATTTATTGGAGGGGGAAAAAAGATCTTTGCTTTTCTTGTGAAGTGACTCTTGAGAATGTGCAGCTTGATGGAGGCTGGATTAATGGGAAAGGAGCCAATTGAGACCACAGTGCTTTTGCGTGTACCTGATGCCAGGGGCAGTCTTTGTATTTTTAAACATTGAAAAATATGTGGAAATATGGGTTGGAGTTCAGAGCTCAGTATTAATTATTCTTACACTTTCCAAGTTTAAGCATTCTTTATTTTAGGAATTCTCAAACTGTTTTTAAAAATTGAATCACCATGAAATACAGTTACAAAGCTTTCATGATTGAATTTCAGTCATACAATGATGGACCATCCATCCCTCTACCAATGCACATTTTCTACCACCAGTGTCCCCAGTGTCCCTCCTGCCAGCACTCCTGTCTCTATGGCAAGCACTTTCCTTCTTACTCTCTCTCTGCTTTTGAACACTATGGTTTGCAATACAGATACTAAGAGGCCATCATGTTTTGTCCTTTGTCTACTTTCAGCACACATCTTCCATCCTGAGCTATCCCTCCAGCCATCATTGAATTTGTGGTCCCTTATCTATCCCAACTTAAGCATTCTTTATATATTAATACACACCTTACCTGCTACATGATTTTCAGAAACTTACCCCCTTTATATGGTTTGTCTTTTTATTAATATGCCCTTTGAACACAATGGCTTTTAATTTTGATAAAGTACTATTTATTTTTTTTCTTTTGATATATATTTGTTTCCTCTTATAATTTCTATAAAATAATATTAATACACACAAGGCACTTGAGAGTGCCAATCACATTATAAAAACTCAGTATTACCTACTCTTCTTACTAGAGTTCATAGTTTACTTGCAGTAAATAATTTGAATATTAAGTTACTGTGGTGAAATTAGTAGCTAGAATCAGGAATAAGAACACTTAAGTATTATAAAAGTAGTTTTTATGTAATAAAATTTTGGCTAAAAATTTTTATATGGTCCAATTTAAGAATGCTTCTAGGGCCAGGGTGATAGCTTAGTGGTCTGATGTATACACTTTGCTTATATGAGGACCAGGTTTGGTCCCTGGCTGTGTATGGTCCTCCGGACCCATCTGGGAGCAGCCCTGGAGCAATACGCCAGAAAAGCTCCTGAGTACTGCCAGGTGTGGCCCCAAACCTCTCCCCTCCTTAAAAAAAAAAAAAGTTTTAAATAAATAAGGATTATTTGGAACATTGTCTTCCAGAAAGTGTTTTTGTATTAAAGTAAGTGTTGAAATTACCAAGTGGGAAACTTCTGTGCAGTTGGCAGCTTTCAACACAAGCTACTGATTTATCCCTTTCCATATTCATTGAAATGACCAAGGAATTTAAAAATAGGAATAAAAAAGTACAGTAGTACTAAAAACTTGGAAAAAGTAGCATTTACTTTACAGTTTCTGTTACAAGAGATGGAATTTATGAGTTTACAAGTCTTCTGTTAAAACAGCCAGCTGCCTTGATCTGTAGCCTCCTGGGGTAGTTGCCTGTTCCTTCGTTGTCCACCTAGTTGTTGAGTCCATGTGTGATCTCTGACCCCGTTCTTTCTGAAAGCTTGCATCTTTCAGTTAATTGCCAAGTCTGTTGATGCTGCTACCTCTTTATTAATATATTATATACATTAAGCTCTCCTATTTGGAGCCCCTGTTCTAAGTTATCTGTTCCAAGGGGCAGTCTTTCTTTTTTTCCTTTCAAACCTTTCTTTATTTTTTGATGTAGAGAAAGCTTTTTTTCTTTTTTCTTTCTTTTTCTTTTTTTTTTTTAATGAATCACCATGAGATAGTTACAGACTTAAAAATTTGTGATTACGTTTCAGTCATTCAATGATCAAGTACCCATCCCTCCACCAGTGCCCATTCTCTACCACCAATGTTCCCAGTATCATTCCCGTCCCCCCCCCCCCCCCCCCAACACACACCTCTGTGGCAGGCACAGTCCCTTTTGGGTGTTATGGTTTGCAAACAGGTATAGGTGGCCATCGTGTTTGGTCCATAGTCTGCTTTCAGCACGCATCTCCCATCCTGAGTGAGGCCTCCAAGTGTCATTTACTTAGTGTTCCCTTCTCTGTCCCAGCTGCCTTTTCCCCTAGCATGTGAAGCCAGCTTCCAAGCCATGAAGCAATCCTTCTGGCCCTTATCTCTACTATCTCTAAGGGGCAGTCTTAATGCCATTTCTCTTCTGTGAGGTAGGGTTTACAGATGAGGTCTAAGTATAGCAAGCTTGAGTGATCTTGACCCAGGATTGCTGAGCGATAATCCCAGGAGTCAAGCTCACTGTTTTTTTTAAAATCTGTTTCTTTCCCTCACCATCATTCTTTTCTGGCCATTCTCTCTCTCCTGTGTTTCTTGATTAGAGTCTCACCCTTCTCGAATCCATATTGCACAAATGAAGTCAGTCATTTTTCAAAGACCTAAATCTGAACCCATCTCTTTCTAGAATTCATAAACTTCTTGAGAATTTTTGTGGTTGGTCCTTTTCTATTTCAGCATGTTAGGTTTTTGGGTTTTTTTTTTTCTCGATTTTCCTCATGCCCTGTCTGCCTGCCCCCCATCTCTTTTTTGAGACAGATAAATATAATTTCCTCAAACAGGCAATAAGCCCTAGACTCTAGATTTTCTCAGGTGTTGGCATAAAGTTCGTTTTTCATAGCAGAATATTCATGGATTTTGTTTTGTCCTCTGGGATTTTATCTTTTCTACCTGGCTACAGTATCTGAGGTCAGAAACTAGCCATTTTACTTACCACTATATTCCACTTACTGTCTTGTGCTTGACATGTAGTAGGTACTGAGTACAATGGAATTACTTGATCAATGAATAAATACATAGCAGCACAGTGGCCCTTTCAACCAAACATAATCCAAACATCAGATGTGTTAAAAAATAAATAACTGGATAGAAATATAAATCTGTCCTAGAAAAACTCTCTAGAATATACGTCACTTGTCTGAGACATATATGAGACATTAGTATGAGTTGGATAAGATAATGGTCACGGTCCTCCCGTTATTCATCGATTTTGCTCGAGCGGGCCCAGTAACAAGTCTCCATCGTGAGATTTGTTGTTACTGTGTTTGGCATATTGAATATATCATGGGTAGCTTGCCAGGCTTTGCTGTGCGGGCGAGAAACTTTCAGTAACTTGCCAGGCTCCCCAAGAGGGGTGGAGGAATTGAACCCGGCTCGGCCGGGCTGGCTGTGCACAAGGCAAACGCCCTACCGCTGTGCTATCACTCCAGCCCGGATAAGATAATATAGCCAGAAAATACAGCTTTTACAACTGTGCTTAAAACGACCCAGTGTTTTGTTTTGTTTTTCTCTCATCATATTTTTCTTTATGCTTTGTTCCTCTTACCGCTCCTGTGAAGGGCGTGCTCTTAACTTTCTTATTCTCTTTGTTTCTCCCTTTGTATTTATGCTGATGGATTGACTCTATTTTTCTAAATGAATCCGTACTAATCTGTTTGTTAACACACATTCCCAGAATATGAGACCCAGTTATTCTTTTTATTTTTATTTTTTGAGATCCATTCTTCATTTTAAACCTCATTTTTATAAAATGTCTAATGATTTTCTAAAAATTTTCTATTTCATTAAAGAAAAAAGCATTGCAGACTTGCATCATTTACTTGGCTGATCTTACTATCTGCTATGAATAAATAACTTTAAATTTTTCTTTCAGAATCTCCAGGAAATGAGTCATTATGGAAAATCAGAATTAGAGAAAACTATTGAACATTTAACAGTTGTCAATCACCAGGTACGTAACAAACTAAGTTAGCACCACATTATGTTGTAGGAATATTTTAAGTTTTATTTTTAATATACTGTTGGTTTTAAAAAGTAAAAATGTGAAAGAAATTGTATAATAGTGGTTAGGAGAAGGTACTCTGAAGTACTTGGATTAATTCCATTTCTGCCACCAGTTTTTTATATTCCAAGGTACTTAAATTTTCCACTTCTCAGTTTTATTATTTAAAAGTAGCAATAGGGATGTGAGGGCGATCTGGCTGCGACATCTGTCACCCCATTGATCGCCAGGGTTGATTCGGCTGATCTGGCTGGCTAGGCGGGTGTCCCCTTCCTCCCTCACCGCTCTATGTGCGTCCCTCCCGAAGCTGCGCGCTCGGTCGAAGAGGATGGCCTTCCCCGATAGAGACGGACCGGTCTTCGGTCGAGGGTATACGAGTAGCTGCGCTCCCCTGCTAGAACCTCCAAACAAGCTCAAGGTCCATTGTAGGAGAACGTAGGGTAGTCAAGCTTCCAAGACTCCAGACACATCCAAATGAGGCGCTGCACGTGGCAGTCTGCCTTTCTTTTTAAAAAAAAATAAATAAATAAATAAAAGTAGCAATAGTGCTAGTAATTATTTCTGAGGGATATTGTGAAGATTAAGTTAAAGATTAAGGATACGTGTGAAGAACATAGAATAATCATTGACATGTTATAGGCACTCGGTTGGTACTAACAACGATGATTATTTGCTCTTGTAAGAAAATAATATAGCTAAGAGTAAAAATTCAACTGGAGTAAATTCACTTTCATTTCTCATTGCTCTCTTGAGATAGGATCCTCAACAATTTAGAATGTGTCTGACAGTCTTTTTCTCTGTCTCATTTTGTCTAGCTTTCATTACTGTATTTTTACCGTTTTTGTCTACGGCTTCTATTTTGGGTATTGTTCTCTTCATTTATTGTTTATTCCTGCTTTTCCTGTGCCTGGTAATTTTAGACTGTGTCAAATTGCAAATCAAGGCCCGGAGGGACGGTTCCACAGACTGAGCACATTGTTTGCTTGTAGGAAGCCTGTTTTTGCTTCCAGTAGCTCCCAAACCCTGCTGGGTGTGGCACCCAAAAAAACAAATATATTAGTCAATTCTACCTTTCCAGTTGCAAGACAGTGTGTAGTTCCTGTCATATGGAAGAAACGTAATTCTTTCAGGTTTTACATTATTTAATTGGAGAGGGGTGGGTGTGTCGCACCTGGAGGTGCTCAGGGCTGACTCCTCATTCCTGATGGTGCTTGGGGGATCATATGTGGTGCTAGAGTTGGAAGGAGGATTGGCCTTGTGCAAGGCAAACACCTAAACCCATCTAAGCTATCTCTCCAGCCCTTTGATTTTGCTGTTAAACTTCATTAGGTGAAACCAGACTAACGCTTACTCTCTTTTTTTTTGCTTTTTGGTTCACACCCAACGGTGCGCAGGGGTTACTCCTGGCTCTGCACTCAGGAATTAGTCCTGGTGGTGCCCAGGGAACCATATGGGATGCCGAGAATCGAACCTGGGTCAGCCACGTGCAAGGCAAATGCCCTACTCACTGTGCTATCTCTCCAGCCCTAACATTTACTCTTAAGCCAATTTTATTTCATTACTGAGACTCTTTGGATTATACCAATTTGGCTGCTCTACAAATCGGAAGATTTTCAATAGCTTGATGATTTTTCCCTTGGCCTTGGGCAGCTTTCTGTGTGCCGAATTCTCGGGCACCCTTCATGACGCCATGTAACTCTCGCTTTATACAGCTCTGGGCCAGCAGTTTGCCAGGATCTCCCTTGCCAGCTCTAAGCTACCTTCCCTTCCCTCGAATCTCTATCCTCTCTCCTGCTCTTAGTGGAACCTTCCGTATCACCCGAGAAGTTCTTTAGGTGATAGGCAAAGAGTAGTGACAGGCTTCACCTTCGTGCTTTCTCTCAGGGGACACTGCCCATTCTCGGCACTTTCTCTAGCAGTTTCCAGAAAAGCACGCATGGGCATCCAGGGAGATAGCCCTGTGGGCTGAGCTCATGCTTTGCATGTAGGAGGCTCGGGTTCTCTCCCTGGCACTGCATCATCCCCCAGCACAACTGGGAAGGATCCCTGAGCACTGCTCAGGGTGTACAAAAATAAATAAAATAACAAAAGAAAATTTATTATTTTTATATGCGCATTTGTCCAAACATGTGGAGAGTGGTCTTAAGCATGGCTGTGGCTGGTTCTGGAGGTCTTCAGTTGCCAGGGCTCTGCTCGCATGATGGAACCGGCAGAGGAACCCAAGTGTGTGGGACCCGGAGTTGAGATCTCCAAGCCTGCTCAGATTGGGACTAGGCCTCTTCCACCCAGATCCCCCATCTTCCAGTAGCTAGGTGTTACACCCACCAACTGCCCCCAGCGCCCGCCGTGTTATCCCGTCAATGGCCAAGACACAGCGACTATAAAACCCAGCTCTTGGAAGCACTTGGCCGCATATGCGGCCACACGACCTCTTATTGTCTAGTTCTCACTCTTGGAGAACCTGGCAGGCTACCGAGTGTATCCTGCCCGTGCAGCAGAGTCTGGCAAGCTCTCCATGGCATATTCGATATGGTAAAACTCAGTAACAATGATGGGTCTTATTCCCCTGACCCTGAAGGAACCTCCAATGTGGCACTTGCTAAAATTTCAGGGCTAGGACGAATGGAGATGTTACTGGTGCCTGCTCGAGGAAATCGATGAACAACAGGATGACAGTGATACAATGATGTGCGCATTTATAGATTTTTCCAACAAATACTTGTTAATGTTCAAGAGAAATCAAGTCCTGAAGTTATATTGACTGTTAGTCATTCTATTGTTGCCATTCTATTTATGGTGAGCCTGTAATAAATAAAGTAGGTACTGGTTTTTTTTTGGTTTTTTTTTTAGTATTTTTTTCTGGGTGGGGGTGTGTGGTCCCACATCCTGTGCTGACTCTGATCTGCTTGTCTGGAAAAGTATGCCATTTTCATAGATGGTTTATGATTAACAGATAAATGTGAGTATAGGTTCAAAAATTATTTTCACCACAGAATTTGAGTCCTGTCCCTCATCTTGTCTTACAGTTTTCTTTGAGAGCTCTGATGCTGTTGTTTCCTATTCCTTTGTACATGGTAAATGTTTTTAGTTCTAGAAGTTCTAAAGATTTTTTTTTCTTTACCTCTAGTGTTCAGTGCATGATCTTAGACAACAAGTCTTGGGTTCTATCCTTTCTCCTTTATCTTTTCTTTGACTTTTGATTTTCCTTTTGACCTTTTTATTGTATTCTGATTTTTTAAAATTATTCTTTATTTCCAAGAGAAGTTTTTCGAAAGAGTTGAAAACTATTTGAGGTCTGAGGGTCCCAAATACTTTTCATTCAATTCTGTTCTTGTGTCCAACATGCGACTCGGTGCCTCTGTGTGTTGACCTTCAGGAAAATACACGGGCTGCTCAATGGTGTTCCTCACAATCTTCCTCTTAGTTGACTGGTTCAGAATGAGATTACTTCTTCCTCCTCAGAGAATTTTTGTTTGTCCACGTAGAGGAGAAGGTACTTCTTATGCTTGCTAGGTAGAGGCTAATCGATACTGCTGGACATCCTTCCATGCATGAAGCACAGAACAACTCCCACAAATCTCATGGTTTCTAGGTTCAGAGACTTTGCTTTAGATTGTATCTTTTTTCCTACCCAAGTGACTGTTCTCTCCACTCTTCATCTTCCACTCTTGATTTCTTCCGTGTTCTCTATGTCCTTATGAGTGTGTAATTTTCGTAATCATTTACTGTCGTTCTTGCACTGTTTCCAGTGGGAAGAGAGAAAATGTGTATGGTCCATCTATGGTTCTAAGTATGTATGACTATTATTTCTTGCTCTTGAATTTAAACATTATTCTATCTAGAACTTTTTTCTTATATGTAAGATACAGCAGCTCTAAAGGTCTCCTCAAAGCTCTGTTCTTAAAGAATTTATCCTCTTTGACCTCCCTAAGAAGCTCCCTTTCCTCACCGTACATTTGTGTATGTTTGTTGGCTTGGTTTGGTGGTGGCAAGGCCTCCTGAGCGTGCTCTGCAGCCTAGGGACCGGGGCCGCTCTGCGTCTGCGGTCTACTGGGATCACCGTGTTTGTGTCTGTGACTCTGTACAATTACATGAATGTACTTGTCCATTTCTATGTGCAATTTACCGTTTTAGTTTTAGGAATTTTCTCCTTATTTTGCCACCTTGAAGACAAGTGAACAGTCACTTTTTCTCCCAAATTTTTTCCCTTTTTTTCCTTAAAATGGTTTTTTTCCCTAATGAGTTTTAGAATGAAATCTAAGTCACACCTTATTTTTTTTAAGTTGTTCAGATTGAAATTTCATTGAATTCAAAATTATTTAAAGAAATTTTGATACACGTGTAGTATTATGTTTCCATTCAGAACTGTGGCATATTTTTTTTGATAACTCAGTTTTATGCACTGCAGGAAAATTTATAAGTTTTTTGTGTTTGGGTCACAGTGTTTTCTGCTCTTGATTTTTAAATTTAGTTGTGGCTATTTTATGCTTTTAAAGGATTCTCAAAATTTTTGCTCTGCTAATGGCTTACTTTCTTACTGCATGACTTTAATACGTATATTCTTTTTTCCTTTCTTATGTTTTTTACTTCAATGATATTGAGGAAATGATTAACATAAATGTACCTATTGTGAACCTAAAGCCTAACCTGTACTCATGATTTTACAAAGTGTTTTGAAATGTAGCCAATATGTGTTTGTAATTTGCCTCCATAAATAAAGAGTGCTTAAGTAAAACAAAACTATGTTTTTGTTAATTTTTGCAATTTAAATTATAGCTTGAAAATGAAACATGTGAGTTAAAGGCTAAAATGCTAATGATGAAAGAAACAATGGAGTCATTAGAGCACAAAACAAATTTCCAAGCTCATAAACTTAGCTGCATGAATAGCGACTCACATCGGAAAACAGAAATGAACACTCTTAGGTAAGTTTATTTGTTTATTTGTTTGGGTCTGGGCTCCACACCCCGTGATGCTCAGGGGCTCTCCCCCTGACTCTGTGCTCTGGGGTTTGCTGGTAGTGGGGAGGGGATAGAACTCAGCCCTCCAGTATGGGCACTAACGCTTTGAACCACCAACTCTACCCTATGGGTGTGTGTACTGAAAGTCCTTGGAATGTGTTTGCAGTTTGGTAAGATCCGGAATCGTATAGCTTATGCATCATGTCTTTGCACTGTCATTCCCAAAACAGACATTGTAGCAGAATAATCTGGTGATTCTGAAGAACATGAATTTGGAGTGATCTGGAGAGGTCCTTTACCCCAATGGTACACAGGGTGCCTGGGGGACACTCCCAAGGTCCTTGGCCCTTCCGGGAGCAGGCCTGATGGTGGGGTGCCTGGCTTACTGGTACAGTTCTACTCAGACCTGGCAGTGCTGGACATAAGGGAGAGGTGGAGACAGGAATAGAACTTGGCACTACTCCACCTCTTTGAGCTACTCGCTGGCCCTCTAGAGGCTAAAGGAGGTGCATGCTGAGTTCCAACCCTGCAACCACACAACCACCTTGGGGCTGGGTAATCCCAAAGCACTACCGGCTATGGCCCCAATGGTACCCCTAGTGCCCGAGCGACTGCGCATCTTTGGGCCCTAGAACGGAGCTGTCCTGCTTGGGTGACTATCACCAAGAAGATCCCTACCCCTGAGCACTGCCTACGAGACTACTCCCCTCAAAATGTATTTCTGCCAGAGTAAAAAGTACTGTTTGCTTTCCCCTCCTGATTCTTTAGGATAGTAAATGAGCAACTGCAGCGGTCACTTGATGATTACCAGCACCGACTCTCCATCAAAAGAAGTGAAGTTGAATCAGCTCACATGCAGATTAAAACATTGGAAGAAAAAATAAGTAAGTACTTTTTACATATTGATTTTTTCTAATTCTACACTGCTCTGTCTAACACACGTGACTTCTTCTTTATAGGTCAGCTGCATCTTCAGATGACGTCACAGAATGAGGAGGCTCATGTAATGAAAAAGACCATTGGTGCTATTGATAAAGAAAAGGACTATCTTCAGGAGACTGTAGATGAGAAGACAGAAAAGATTGCAAAATTGCAAGAAAATCTAGCTAATAAAGTATGTGTCTCAAATAGAATCTAGAATCTGAACAGAGAGGTTATTTCAAAATGCAGTTCCTTGAAAGCTTTTTCTTTAAAATTAGAAGACAAAGCTGTCCATTACCTCCACTTCTATCTAAATTAGTAATATAGATATTAATAGTTGGTAATAGAAGTAGTAATAAATTAGCAAGAAGTACATGTTGGAAAAAAGTGTAATTGTTATAATTTGCAGGTGATAATATAGAGAGAAAGCCCTGAAAACTTAATAAAGAAGGCTGTTAGAAATAATGATAATAGCAAAGCAGTAGTTTACAAAACCACTTGGTTACAAATATTTGTAGCATTTCTATATATAAATAATAAACAGCAAGAAGAAATTAAGAAAACACTCATTCACAATTGTGTCCAAAAGAATTAAATGTTTAGGAATAAACTTAGCAAAAGAAGTAAAAGACCAGACTCCTAAAAACTTTAACTCTTCAAAGACATAGAATGAGGCATTAAGGCTTGAAACATTCCATGTTCATGAATAGAGAGAATTCATGTAGTCAAAATGTCAATTTTACCAAAAGCAGTATGTAGATTTAATGCAATCAAAATTCCAATGATTTTTTTAAAAAGAAATTGCAAATACATAATTAATATGGAATCATAAGATACCTCAAATAGCTGCAATTCTTAGGAAAAAAAGAAAATGGAGACACCGTGTTCTCTGACTTCAAATCAACTTACAAATCTATGGCAACTAAAACTATAGGGTTGGAATAAAAATAGATGTGTGGAGCAGCATGTAAACTGAAAACCTGAAGATAAATCCTCACATTGATTGATATGTCTAATATGTGATAAAGGATCAAGACCTTTCTATGGACAGAAGCCTCTTCAACAAGTGATGTTGGATAGCTACACTTATGAAAATGAATTAGGATACTTACCTATGTGCATAAATAAATTCCAAATGGATTCATAATATCAGTGTGAAAGTTCCAAACCATAATATACATAGGTGAAATGTTCATGACATTATGTGACATTGACACTAGAGATGTTTCCGAAGTCTTGATGACAACAAGACTGTTAAAGGATAAAAATGAATAATTAAGAGGTCTAAGAGATAGTGGAGGTAAGGCACTTGCCTTGCATGCTGCTGTGTAGCCAAGACCTTGGTTCAAATCTTCAGCACCACCTACATTCCCCTGAGCCCTACCAGGGGTCAGTTTTGCACAGAGCCAGAGCTCAGAATGGTCCTGAGCACCACCAGATTTATCCTAAAAGAAACACAAAAAGTGAACAACTGGGACTCATGAAATTAAGCTTTTGTACAGCAAAAGAAAACATGGACCGAATGAAAAGACAGCCTGTGGGTGAAAATATTTACATATCATACATCTGATAGAGCAATAGTATTCAATAGTATCCAGGTGTATATGAAGCTCACAACTTTACAACAGAAAAAAGTCAAGCAATCCAGTCAACATAGAGACTGAAGATTTGAATAAACAGTTACTGACGAGGCTGTACAGATGGTGAATAGGCATATGAAAAAAATGGTGATCATGACAGATTGTTAAGGAATGCAGATTACTGCAAAGAGATACCATCTCACACACGTGACCAAAGCATCAGCAAGTATTGGAGATGGTTTAGAGATAAAGGGTTTATTATTGGGAATGTATGTTGGTGCAACAATTTTGGATTATCCTCAAGAAGCTGAAAATAGAGCTATCATATGATCCAGCAATCCCATTTTTGGATTTCGACCAGAAGAAAATGGGAACATAAAAATAAAATGTTCTGGCCACTTCGATGTTAACCACAGCACACTTATAAAAGGTAAAATATGGATGCACCTGAAATTTTCATCGTAGATGATTGCATAAAGATCATAGATAATTGCATGTATATTTATACAATGGAGTATTATTCAGCTATTATAAAAGATGAAGCCATTTTCCACAAAGCATAACTATCTCAGGATCATGTGAAGTAAGAAGAGTTAGAGGAAGAAGACAAATATTGGATGGTTTCACCCATGTCAGTAATAGGATATGAAAATGATAAGCAGACAAAACAAAAATCAGTGCACAGTGACAATAGAACTAAGGTTACTGAAGTGAGAGAGGTGGAAGAAGGTAAGGGGTGTTGTGTTAAAAAAATAAAGATTGGCTTCAAAAATAACTGAAGGCAAAACCAAAATAACTGGTTTTATTTCTCCACATAAGAGTTCTTAATACTCGGGAACATGCTCCTAATATGTTCACATTTCATTTATTTTAATAATTTGAACCTTTAAAGTTGTACTCTTTGGGGAGCTGAAGAGATAGTACAACTGGCAGGATACTTGTCAGTACAGCTGGTAGGGTGCTTGCCTTGGTGAGGCTGACCTTGGTTTGTTCCAGAACCCCATATGTTCCCACAATCCCCACTGGGAGTGAACTCTGAGCACAGAGGTTGGAGTAAGTCCTGAGCACTCTGTGACCCAAAACCAAAAATAAATAAGTAAATAAAATTGTATATTTTAGAACATGTTACCAGATAAACTGAGGGAAGCCATTCAAGTTCATAGGGTGGTTAAAGATATACCAATATGTGAAGTATAAAGATGCCATGGACTTTAATTTTTGTTTTTTTTAGTGGGGGGAGGAGTCACACCCAGCGATGCTCAGGGGTTACTCCTGGCTCTGCACTTAGGAATTACTCCTGACAGTGCTTGGGGGACCATTTGGGATGCTGGAAATCGAACCTGACAGCATGCAAGGCAGATGTCCTACCCGCTGTGCTATCGATCCAGCCCCTGGACCTTAATTTTTATAGCACAGTTTACATAATTGGATTTGAAATATATAAATGCAATTAATTGTACAATTTTTAACTAAAGACTTTATGAATGGTTTGAAATTGTATTTTTTAAATTTCTGTAGGACAAAATTCTTGCTCAGATGACAGCAACAATTGGAGAGTATGAGTCTTCTCTGAAGTAAGTAGTCAGCAAAGTGATAGGCCTTTTAAGCAATTTGCAGTAAATTCAAATAATTTGCAATCTGGCAACTGGAAATTTCCATATCAGTTTTTCTAATTTTGCCGATAACATTGTCTTGGTCTTGTGTTGAAAATGTATTCTTTCCTTTCCCTCTAACCACATGTAGTATTATCTTATTAGTTATGTTTTATATCTACTTGCCCTTTGTACTATAACGTACCCTGTTTGTGCCCTAATTATCAAAATTTAATTTATTCTACATCTAAGCCAATCTAGCACAGTATTGAAAAATGCTACATTTTGTACTCCAAGAAAATGTTACTCTTTTTTTTTATACCCATTCATATGTGCTTTTTATATAGAAGTAAGGACTTAAGTACTAACTAAATATTTGCCAGTTTATCAAGTTTTACTCCTAACTCTTGAAAGTTTTACTCTTGGAACATTTTACTGTATAACTTCATTTGCATAGAAATCAAAAATATTTGCTTGACCTGTATAATCAGTGTTTGAATGGCAGTCATTAAAATTTATTGTCCTCTTAGTATACTCAGAGGAATAGTAGTTGTCTTTTAAATAATACAAATGCAGAAAGCATTCTTAATTTTATTTCCACGTCACTCATGTAACAGCCAGCTGAAGGAATCATTAACTGATCGAGAGTGTGAGATCACCAGCCTGCGGTGCCAGCTCGATGCAGCTCACAAAGAACTTGATGATGTCGGAAGATGTAAAGAAGTGTCTTACAAGGAAGCCAGAAGATTACAGGAAGATCTGGCTACAATGGCAAGAGAAAACCAAGTATGAGCACAATGTGTACATAACCTTTATGAGTTTTACGGTATATTCATGATTTGCTAAGATCTAAAGTACACAATACACATTTAAAAGTTGGATGGTAATGTGGTTTAGAGTAGTGCTGTATTTGGGTGGTTCTCCAGGTTGATGGCCCACTGGAACCATGTGAACTAACCTAAAAATACCCAGGCCTGACTCCCACCCTCAGACATGGTTCTGGTGTCGTTGTCAGGGCAGTGGGCTGGCCGTTAACAAATGCTACTGGGAATATTAGAAAAATCATTAGGATTTTTAAAAGCTCTTCTGGAAACTCATTTAAGATGAAAGTTTGAGTGGTTTAACTGTACAGGACAGTGTCGAATGGATGCAGCCATTGTTTCCTACAACTTTTTTGTTGTTGTAAGAAATTCTGAAGTTGGGAGCATGGTATTCTCTGTGGTTGGAATCATTGTCACTTGACTGGGTGAGGACTTCAGTGTCACTCCTGGGGCAGATTACAGTGCTTTACTTTCAGAGACCCATGATTTAATTATTCATACTTTCAGTGGTTTTGAAGAGAGATCTATCAGGTTGTTAATGAATACCCCTGAGTACCATTTCAGAGATCCAAAAACACAAATCAGCATCATCCAGGAAGGATGTGTGGAACATCAGGGATAGCCCATTTCCTCCTCTTATTCTAAGGGAGCTATGCGAATATAATTAGAATACATTGGGTACTGCATTCATTTTAGATTTGTCTGTGTTTGTTTTTTTTATTTATAGCAAATCACATTGGAATTGGAAGCAGCAATACAAGAAAAAGAAGAAATGAAGAGTAGAGTTCATAATTACATAACCGAGGTGTCACGATGGGAGAGCTTAATGGCTACTAAGGTGAGGAGCATTGTTCGTTTGGGTTGGATGAAAGACTGTTGAAAACCTTTCGATCCTATCAAACTTCCTAGATGAGCATTAGCTTATGAGAGTAGAGGACTTGCTTGCTGTCATTTTATATTTCCCTATTCACCTTACTTGGCTTAGTATCTGCACAGACAGCTGATGTTTCTAAATCGAACTAAAAAATCTCGATCTGAATATGTTTATGGGTATTTCAGAGACTGACAGTTACTAATGTGGAAACAATTTAATCACCCTAAACCAGGAGAAGGAAAACCAGGACTTGTTAGATAGATTTCAGATGCTTCATAACCGCGCTGAGGACTGGGAGGTGAGAGCCCATCAGGCCAAGGGGGAGAGCAGTTCCGTCCGCCTGGAGCTTCTGTCTATCGACACAGAGAGGAGACACCTTCGAGAAAGGGTAGAGCTGCTGGAGAAGGAGATTCAGGAGGTAACTGTGCTCGTTTGTGTAGAGAGATGTTATTTCATGGAACAAGCGTTCGGGGCTAACTTTTTTGAAGTGAGTTAAATATGGATGAAATCGAACTCATAATTGACACAAGTCAACTTTTTGTAAATTTAATAAGTTTCATAAAAATCCTATTATCTTTTTCATCGCTGGAGCGATAACACAGCAGGTAGAGTGTTTGCATTGCACGTGGCCAGCCCGGGTTCGATTTCTCCATCCCTCTCGGAGAGCCCGGCAAGCTACCAAGGGTATCCCACCCGCCCGGCAGAGCCTGGCAAGCAACCCGTGGCATATTCGATATGCCAAAAAAAAAAACCAGTAACTAACAAGTCTCACAATGGAGACTGGTGCCCGCTTGAGCAAATCGATGAACAACAGGACAGCGTTACAGTGCATACATAATCTCAGATTTGCCTTTTCAGTCATTTTTAAGTGTGTAGTTTCTGTAGGAGTTGTAACTTTACATCGTTTTACAGACTCCACCATCCATCCGTTTCAGAATGTTTTCATCTTCCCAGACTGAATTACTGTGAAATACCATGTTCTGTTTATTCACTCACCTTTTGGTAGGCAGATCCTGTCACTGCTCCTTGGGCCCTGGCCAGTGGTACTCGCCAGCCTGCCTGCTTAGCATCGCTGGTTGACCTCCCAGCCTGCTACCCACCACCCAGAGAACCCGAGTGCTTTTCAGTGTAAAGCTTTGGGTTTTTGTTTTTTCGGTTTTTTTTTTTTCATATAAAGAAAGTTTTGGATTATTTTAACTCTAAACTTATTTCTTTTTTAGCACATAAGTGCACATCATGCTTATGAATCTCAGATCTCGTCAATGGCAAAAGCCATAGCTACGTTAGAAGAAGATCTGAGGAATCAAGAAAATGAGAAAGCAACAGTCATGAATGATATGGCGTCTCTTAGGGAACTTTGCATCAAGCTCGACTCGGGCAAAGATCTGATGATCCAGCAAATGAATTCTAAAAACCTTGAGTTGGAGAGGGTGAGAAGTTAAAAGATATTTTCATACGACATTCTTTATTGATCCCTAGTTTGTTTTACTTTATGATTCACTACCCAATACATTAACTGTTCGTTAGAGTAGTTACTATTGATTACGGGATTTTGACCAGCTGGATGTGATGACGAGGTTCTTTGCCAAACATGTTACATTTAGGTAACATTTCTGTTTGGAAGTGGATAGAATTTAGGGGAATATGAGTCTTCTAATGATAGACTAGAAGCATATTTGTGTACATTTTTTTATCGGGGCTAGAGTGATAGTGCAGCGAGTAGGGCACTTGCTTTGCATGTGGCCAGCCCTGGTTTTATCCCCAGCATCCTGGATGGTCCCCCAAGCCTGCCAGGAGTGAGTCCCTAATGCAGAACAAGGAGTAACTTCTGAGTACTGCTAACTGTGGCCCATAGACAAATAAGCAAACTAAAAACTCAAGTATATTCTTTTTTCTGTTTGAAGATAAATGCAATTGATTGAGCAGGTCATTGATTCCTAAATGAAAGCGTTTTCCTGATAAAAATCTCATGGCATTTATTTTAAGTGTACCTAATTTTAAAAAGCCTAGTTAGCTGGAATTTCCCATTCCAAAACTGAGGTATTACTTTAAACTTTAAGTATGTGTTCTTGAACTTCAATATTTCCTGTTTTCACTCATTTCCTAGTGCTTTTGTTTTCAGGCAAGCTGAGAAGCTCCATACTTGGCTTACTTTGCAGTCAGAGTACACACCTTCGCAGGTGTGTACTAAAGAGAGCTCCTTGCTGTTGGGGGAGCCACATTTTAGGATTTTATGTTGAGGATCTCTTGACAAGGTAGTATGAATATAAAGCAGTAGAGGAGTTAACAAGCCCATACTAAAAACAGCAAAGATTGTTTCGAAAATAAGATTTCTTTTTTATACTTGAAGAATTGATAAAACTCTTTAACTTGGGGCTGGAGAGAGAGTGCAGCAGGTAAGGGCAAGGTGCTTGCCTTGCATGTGCCCAACCCAGGTTTGACCCCTGGCATTCCATATAGTCCAGGCTACATCAGGAATAATTCCTGAGGGCAGAGCCAGGAGTAACCCCTGAGCATTGCACGGTGTGACCCAAAAACTTAAAACAAAACAAAAAACAACCTCTTTAACTCATACCCAAAATAAAGCAACTGACAGATTTTATAGCTCAGCGGGTAAATTTTTAGAGTATAAAATTATACTGAAATAATCTTTGTTTTTCCTTTAGCTTGTAGCAGAGTTGGAAACTGTAAAATCAGAAGCAGACCTGTTAAAAAAACAGCTGTCAAACGAGAGACATACAGTTAAAAATCTTGAGTCATTGTTGGTTTCAAACAGAGATAAAGAATTTCAGTCTCAATTAAACTCCCACGAGAAGGAGACAGAAATTCAGCTACTTAAAGAGAAGTTAACGCTTTCGGAAAGCAAACTGTAAGTGTCATACGTCAACTTACACAGGGAAATCACTGGTGAAAATTTATTTTTTCCACTTTGTGGGGAGAGAAGGATGGACGAGTCGTGGGTGGTGCAGATCTAAAACACTTCTGTGCCTGCTGCTTCGGGGAACTCGGGAGTTAGGGTTTGGAGATACTATTTGGGGAGGTCAGATGGTGTATCTTCAGCACCTGGATGACGCAGTACCCATGGAAGTAAAGGAGTGAGCACCAGGAAACCCCCGAAATTTGAGGACTGTTAAGAAGAGTTGGCGAAGGGGAACTTTTGGTACTGGAGGAGTTGGCTGTCTCATGCTGTGGATTAGGAAAATCTTAGAAATGAGACAGCCTTCAGGAGTGCATCGCTTACCTTTCAGGAGTAGGTCAAAGAAGTGAGGAGAGCCAGAGTCAGACAGTACAAGTGGAACAATACATTTTTTAAAGGAGTTAGAAATGATTCTCTTCAGGTTTGCTCTTCAAGCCCATGTTCTCTCTTGAACACGTGTCTCCCTGGCTTGCTTATCTCTATGGTTTTTTGCTTGCTTTTGCCATTCGGACGAAGTGTGTGTTCTCTCTCAACCACTGGTCCTCTATTTCACTCCTCCGACATCTTTTGAATTCCAGTCAATAAAAACTACCTTGCTTCACTTTAAAAAAAAAAGGTTCTCTTCAGAAGTAGGGGGCAAAAAGAGTCAATGGAGACGCTGCTCATCTTTGTGTTTCAGTTCTTATCTTGTTCCCGTGTTGTCTCCAGCATTGCCACACTGCCTAACACACAGTAGAAACTCAGTTAGGGCTGAAGGAGGTGAGTAAAAAAGAAAACCTGCGATAGAGATAAACTCCAGAAGTTTAGTGCAGCATTTTCCAGCAGAGGGTCCCAAGATCCACAGGTGAAAATCCCACAGATGGAGAGCCATGGAGTGGAGACTGAGGGTTGGCCGATAGGATGGGGCCACAGGAAAGAAGCGAGGTTGGAAGGGGTCCATGGTGGGGAAAGGATGAGGGGAAATGGTTTTGATCTTTTCGTTCTTACCTCCATTTATGTTTATTATTCAAAGCAGAAGCCTATAGCACTGGACTCTCTGGAACATTTGTTGTTTTGTTTTTCAGGAGTAGTCAAAGCCGAGAAAACACCATGCTTCGGGCTAAAGTGTCACAGTTGCAGTCAGATCATGATGTTATGAAGAGGCAGATTACAACGGAAAAATTTGAACGGTAAGAAACAACTTTTAAGTTTTGTTGGAATAAATAATATCAGTTTACTCTGTGCCTAAGGGGGCAGGTTGGGATTGAGAGGGTAAGTGGGGATGCTGGATGTTGAGGGGAGTCACACTGGTGGTGTTGGAACACCAACTGCTAGAAACAGCTGTATAATGAAAACTTTGTAAATTGCAGTGTTTTTAATAAAAATTAATTTAAAAAAAGAAATGTCCATCTCAAAAAAACCAACTTTAATATTAGACTTTTTATTGCTTTCCTAGCTATTTAAAATAAATAATATGGTGCATGCATATTCTGTATGCTACCTGGACACATGTGCTGCTTGTACCAATGTGGCCGAGCAAATGTGGTGCCTCAGCACATCTGTGCCCACATCTCCCCTCTTGAGATGTGTATTTTCATGCCGCCACATCTAATGCTGGGGTATGTCTAGGGGCTCTCTCCATCTTTGAAGAATCCCGTGTTCTCTCGAGTGTGTTGCTCTCTCTCTCACTCTCTCTGCCTCCTTCCCCTTCCAAAAAACCTCCAAGCAAAATCTGTTTTTACTTAGAAAACTTAATAAGTAATAATAATATGGAATGTCTTAAAAATAACAAAATATTTTAGCATTAATTTGTGGTGACTCCCCCCCCAAATAAACAGATACTATGATAATTGATATTCCAACAGTAAAATAATAAATTCTTGTTGGATAAATATTTTCCTGCAGCAAAATTGGGTCATCGTCATTGGTGGTGGAAAATGTACACTGGTGGAGGGATGGGTGTTTGATCATTTTATGACTGAAACTTAATCATGAAAGTTTTGTAACTGTATCTCATGATGATTCAATTAAAAAAATTGTAATTTTTCAGAGTGTGTAGTTAGGGAATCAACAAACTTATGAGGATTTTCCAAGATGTCCCAGTAGGAAACTCCAAATACAGATCATCATAAAATTGATCATCATAGGTGTAATTAACATATATTTACCAGATTCCCTGTTTGTTTGGTTTTGGCTTTTAGTTTTTGGACCACACCTAGCGATGCTCAGGGGTTACTCCTGGCTCTGCACTCATGAATTACTTCTGCCTGTGCTCAGGAGACCATATGTGATGCAGGGGATTAAACCTGGGTTGGCAAGGCAAACACCCTACCTGCTATCCTTTGGCTCTGGCCCCAGATTCACTGTATTTCTAATTAACTTTACCAGTAGTTTGCTATTACATATGTTAAAGAATACACACATCACACCAATAGTATATAGCAGAGCCAAGTCTAAAAACCCAAACAGATCTCAAAGTTTAAAGCCTTTGCTCCTGACCCCTGTTAGATATTCCCTACAGTTTAGTTGTTTTTATATGGACATACATTTTGGTTCGTTTGCTCTATTATGGGAGAATTTTTATCCCCAAGTATTATAAACAGCAATAAGAGCTGCTTTAAACAATACTGAAATTTAATTCGCAAATCTGTTGTCAAGTTACTATTCTTCCATTACTCTTTCCTAGTATATGAATACTGTGAACAGTTATACTGTCAACCTGAGGTTCTGTTCTCTAGCAGTGAGTAGTTAGACTGTTGTCAGTTTTTAAGTTCTCTAATTCTTAACTATTTTTATGAGTGCTTTTAAGTGATGTGCTGTTTGGAATTCTGAGAACTAAGTCATGAGAGCAGTGATGTTAGTCTCTTAGAATGAGAAGACCTGGTTTCCAAATGTGCTAACTTGTACATGTATAATGATTTTCTTTTCTTCTTCCTTTTTAAAAATTTTTTTTTATTTTTTTCGGCCACACCTGACGGTGTTCAGGGGCTGCTCCTGGCGGTGTATGGGGGACTCTTCAATGCTGGGGACCGAATCAGGGTCGGCCGTATCCAAGGCAAGCGCCTTAACCCCTGTTCCCAGTATTCTTTCCAACCCCTGTTTTTCTATTTCAAATTCTCTTCATGTGCCCTAACTTAGCCTCTTCATAGCCGGGGACAGTCTTTCGTAAGTGGGTGCTACTCTGTGGGTTGCTGGCATGGTGTCAGGTGGCACCAATAGCAGCATGTGCAAGTGGGGGCCCCTTTTTGTGTGTTGGCTTAAAGCATGTAGATTTCCAGAGTGGGTGGGCACTAGTTTTAGGGTTATTTTTCTGAAAATGGGGGACCAGAGATAAAATAAGTTGGGACTCTCTGGCCTAGCATTCTAAACCCCTCACATTCTTTTCCTTTTTTGTTTTTGGACTACACTCAGGGACACTTGAAGGTCACCCCTTGATGGTGCTTAGGGGACCAAGCCCTGCTAGGGATTGAATCAGGGCCTTCTGCACGCAAAGCACATGACCCAGTCCGTTGAGCTCTCTCCTGGCCCCTCCCCTCGCCCTTGCTCCTGGACCCCACAGAAACCTAGACTAGCTGACTGTGCTGTCACTGCACCTGAACATCAGATAAGTTGTGCATTTTTAAAAGGGCAGTGTCACTCCCACCAGAAAGAAGGAAGAGGGTAGATTAACACATAGAGAAGGTAAGAAGGGAAAGAAAAGGGAAAGAGCACATCATTCAGCTTTGAAAATGTATACGCAGTGAAGTGACAAACGGATAAGGCCCCAAAGCTTTGAACAATCATTTTTGCTTTGTTTGTAATAAGAAAAGGTTGTGTGGGGGGCTACACTTGGCACAGCTAGGTGTATCATCAAATCCAGGGCCTCGCCACACGCAACACATGTGCCCTGCCTGCCACTGAAATACCACTAGTAATAGCCCTAGCCCTGAAAAGTCTTCCTTTTTTTTTTTTTCTTTTTTTGTGGGGCACACACCCGGTGATGATGCTCAGGGGCTACTTCCGGGTCTGCACTCAGAAATTACTTCTGGCAGTGCTTGGGAGACCATATGGGATGGGGATTGAACCACACGTTGGCTATGGGCAAGGTAAATGCCTTACCTGCTGTACAATCCGCTGTAGCACCACTGAATAGTCTTATAGGCTATGTCCTATTAGTAGAAATCTGTTATCCACTACTTTAAAATTCATACAAGAACCTAGGACTTAACCTGAGTTAAATCCTACTTTTAAGAAACATTAAGTAGAAATCACCAGACAACCAATGATAATGACACCTAATATTTGTATTATTTTTTCTTATTAATGTTGATTAACTGCTTCTTTTTTCATGGCTCTTTCATATATTGACATGTCTGGTCTTGACTGACAGAGAGCGGGCAATTCAAGAGATGCGTCAACTTGGTCTTTCAACACCGTCCCTTAGTTCCACTCTGAAGTCACCTTTGCAATCTCCTGAGCAAGTAAAAATATGAATGAATAATTATAAGAAAGGTATGTATATAAAACCAGGAGAGATCAAATTAATCTCTAGTTACAAGAATTCAAAAAATAGCTTTCTGTGTGGGGAGAGGAATAATTGCTTAGGAAAGCATTAGGAAAACTTCCTAACATCATGAACTACTTAGTGTTTTGGTGGCAATGGTTATGTGTGTATAGACAATTGTGAAAGCTCTCTAAACATTCATTTATGCATTTTTTGTGCATAGATTATACTGCCATTAATAAATATAAGAGAAGACATTCATACAGAAAATATATACAACATGAGAGATAACATAGGGTACTCTTTGCTGAAGTGCCAAGTTCAAGATTCGAGTAATAGATGATGAAAAGATGGTTAATGACATAGAAATATGAATACGTGGAATACAGTATACTCAATAGTATAGGAATAGCAAGGATTAAGGAGTAATGGGGGAGAAAGTTGTGGAACGTAGAGTGGGCCATAGAAAGGACTTAAATGCTGCTACGGATTGAAGGCTTTACTCTGCATGAGAGATGTTGGAAGGCACTTCTCTATAGGAAGAGTACAAGAGAAGGGTAAAGGTGCAAAAACTCTTCTCATTGGTTAACTTTATGTGCTTTTGAGCATTGTTGGAGGGCACAGAAAGCTGGGGAGACCAGTTAGTGGTATAAAGTGAACAGTACATTCCATTCGGGACCAGTATAATAATACTGAAATCTAGGATAGATTTTTAAAGTACATTATACTATACATACTGAATAGTACCACATCTTAGATACGCAGAAAAATGGATTTGCACCAACTCACCATACTCTTACAACCTACATCCAGATCAGTGGGCTCCCTTCTGGTTTTAGTTTTTAATTTTTACTTTTAGAAATAACGACATTTAAAAGTAGGAGAGAGATCCCCCAGCCAGGGAGGAAAATTAATAGCGGACTAAGTTCTCCCTTCAGGTTTTTAAAAGTAACTGCCTTTTATTATTAAAACTTTGGCTCAGCGTAGGCATTTTGTAACACACTTCTCGGTGGTACACCCTGAGATTCATTCCTGCTGGTTGGTGTGTTTTAAGTTGCTCAGTGAGTGTGTTTCTGTTATGTGAACTCACAATCATGCCAGCTATGCCACCTGAGTGGCAGCTTGGAATTTTCAGTCTGACCTATTACAAATAGAGTTATGGTGAACACTACCATCCACATATGTTGATGGACACATGTGCCAGTCTCCCATCAAGAACGCTGTCACAGGAGTGAAATTGTCAAGTCACTGGGCAGATGCAGTGACAGGACAATTTGAACAAATGCTGGACATGCAGTTTGTTCAAATTTGAGCAGATGTTGCAAAAATGAGTTTTCCAAAGCAATTGTCAGGACATACTCCATATGCGTCAAAACACATTAAACTGGGGAAGGGTGGGAGGGAGTTCTGGCTCAGTGGAGATGAGAATGAGTGGGAAAGAAACACGAGTTAGCCCCAGCCTTGGAAAGATAGCTGACTGGAGAAATGCAGGCTGGACCAAAGTTGTTAAGATGGACTTTTAAAAAATTGCATCTCTGCCTCTCAGTGGAAGTGTGTGCAGAGATGAGGCATTTCCTCTAGGACCCTGTTCCAGGAGCTGAGTACTGTTCTGTAACATGCCAATGCACCCAGCTTTATTAGTGTTCATGGGGCTGCAGCTTAAAATTAATTCCTGATGCCCCTCTTTTGTTTGCTTGTCTGTCTGATTGAAATTTTATTTCCCTCTTTCATGTAGAGGACCTCTTCTCAGTGCTGGCTGCAGTCATGGTATTTTTACAACTTTGAAGCCTCTGCATTAATTTGAATGTGATCAGATGGGGAAACGCAGCCTTTCATTATAAAGTTCTATGACATTTGTGGCACATTTCCTCATGCTTGACTTACAGCTGCATTTTAACATCAAGGATTAGAAAATTAGGGTGTGGGGGTGGCATCTACCCTGATGCCTAGTTTATAAGTTAAACTTCATTGAAACGTAGCCTTGCCTGATTGTCGACATATTCCCCAAGGCTGCTTTTCTGCAGTGGTAAAACAATGGTTCTGACACAAACTCCTGCCCTCAAATATAAAGTATTGGCTGTCTGGCCTTTCGTGCCATACTCTGGAAAACTCAACTGTACACCATGAGAAAATAAGAGATGGAAAAAGCAAATACTTGATGAGTTTACTAAAAGTAGGCTTAATCTTGACGCTCAAGAGGGACTGGGGATTCACAGGGATCCGCAGACTGTACTTCAAGAGCCATTAATATAGAACTTAGTGGGTTCCAACAGGGTTAAGGCCTTCATAGTTTAGAAAATCTTTTTTAATTGTATAAAAAAAGGCATAACATGGCATCTTAGCAATTTTTCTTAGTGTATGACTTAGTTGGCTGGAACGATAGCACAGTGGGTAGGGCATTTGCCTTGCACGCAGCCAACATGGCCAACCCGAGTTCGATTCCTCTGTCCCTCTCGGAGAGCCCGGCAAGCTACTGAGAGTATCTCGCCCGCACGGCAGAGCCTGGCAAGCTCCCCATGACGTATTCGATATGCCAAACACACTAACAACAACTCTCACAATTTGTTGTGAGATGTTACTGGTGCCTGCTGGAGCAAATCGATGAACAACGGGAGGACCGTGACAGTGATACTAGTATGACGTAGTTACATTGAATCACGATGTTGTGCAGCCATCACCATTATTGCCAAAACTTTTCACACACACACCCCCACCCTCGCCAAAGAAACTGTACCCAGTAAGCAATAGCTGTTCACTCCCATGCCCTCCCCTCCCCAGTCCTGGAGACTCTAACTTGCTTCCTGCTTATGAAATTGCTTCTTCTAGAGTTTCATATCAGTAGAGTGCCACATATTTGTTCTTTTGTGTCTAATTTTATTACAATAATGTTTTCAGGGTTTGTACATGTTTAGAATATATCATCACTTTTTACTTTTTTTTTTAATTTTTATTAGTGAAACACCATGAGGTACAGTTGTAACAAATTTTTGTGCTTGGGTTTCAGTTATGCAATGATCACGTACCCATCCCTCACACTTTTTACCTTTTAATGCCTGAGTAATACTTTACAGTAGGCATATGTATTCTATTTTGTCTATCTATTTATTATTGATGAGCATTTTGTGTTACTTCTGCCTTTTGGCTGTCGTGAAAATTTTGCTGTGGCCATAGATTAGCAAATCAGTCACTTTTACTTTAATTTAATAAATCATTTAAAAAATTTTGGGGCCACACTTGGCAATGCCCAGGGGTTACTACTGGCTCTGCACTCAGGAATCACTCCTGGTGGTGCTTGGGGGACCATATGGGATGCTGAGGATCGAACCCAGGGTGACAAGGCAAGTGCCCTATTCATTGTACTATCTCTCTGGCCCCCTCACTTTCAATTTTAGAATTCAGAGAAAGTAGCAGTTTGAATGTTAGTATACTTTCCATTTATATTTAGTTTTTCATAAGCAGACACAACATAGATACACATATATAATTCTGAAATGTTCATAATCAGATTTTTTCCCTTTTTTTTTCTGGTTTGTTTCATTTTGTGCTTCGGCATCCCCTGGCCCCTTCCTCCAGCCCCACCGCCCTTCTTAATATTGTTGGAAGCACTTAATTCTTATTAAAAGTATTTTCAGAAATGCTGGAGCGATAGCATAGCAGGTAGGGCGTAATATGCCTTGCACGCGGCCGGCCCGGGTTCGATTCCACCGCCCCTCTCAGAGAGCCCAGCAAGCTACCGAGAGTATCCCACCCACACGGTAATAAAGCCTGGCAAGCTCCCTGTGATGTATTTGATATGCCAAAAACAGTAACAACAAGTCTTACAATGGAGACATTACTGGTGCCCACTCGAGCAAATTGAGGACGGTGCCATTTTAAAAATAGAGATCTAGTAGTTCATCACACAGATGATCTATTTACCACTCTGTGGTGAGACATATACTGTTTGGGTTTTGTTTGTTTGGGGCAATACTCAGTCATGCACAGGGGCTCTTTCCATGGTTGTGCCCTGGGAGCATTCCTGACTGTGATCAGGCAACTTTCAGAGAGTCAAACACCTGCCTCTTGCATGCAGGACAATGCCTTTAACCTGTTGAGCTGCCTCTCCCGCCCAGTTGCTTTTTCTTTTTTTTGTAATCAGTGTTGAATCTCTGATAATTTCTTCTTAACTATGCTTTTGCAGGAAAAAGACAATATACTTTTTTTCTTGGGGCAGGAAGTGGGGGGGAAATATATTTTTTATATATATATTTATCTTACTGTTTCCATTCTAGGATATTTTATATTTAATGTATACATTCTAATTGATTACATAGCACATAAAGTCAAAGTATTTGGTTATGGTACTTGTGTATAATTTTGTTAAATACTATATCATTCCTTTTGAATTATTTTTATTAGCACACCGTATTCCATTCACTGTGTAGGAGTCATTTAGTTTGGGTTTTGTTTGTTTGGGGCAATACTCAGTGATGCACAGGGGCTCTTTCCATGGTGTACTTTGATGTCCTTTGATAGTTTGAGGGTAATACCTTCTTAAAGAGTAGATCAGTACTTTCATAGCTATTGAAAGAATTTAATTGTGAGTAAAGCTTCTGTCAGGAATTACAGACTTAGTTTAGCACACTGAAATTCAGGTTTTTTGTGAATGTATGAGTAATTTTATTGCTTTTTTTTCTCAATCTTTCTTCCCCCTCCCTTTTTCAGAATGGATGACTTTTAATGAGTTGGTCTTATGGATTTTTAAAAGGACAGAGCAGTAATGAAATATTTCAAGTACTTGTTACTGAAAAATCATGAGCATTGACACAAATTCTACCTCTGTCAACATTTATTTAAATCAATGATTATTTATGTAAAATTTTTTTAAAGAGCTTTGCCTATGTGTGTATATTTCCATATGTTTGACAAACAAAATATGTATTAATAGTGCTAACTGGTATTGTATCTATATTTTTATTATTCCTGATTTAAATTCCTCCTAAAAGTGTGTATGCTGTGAATTAATAGAATGTTTTGTTTACATTGTGATTTAGATATCTTTTTTATTGAGCCATGATATATGTATGTAAATATTTACTTACAGTATATGTTTTAAAGTGTTTTTAGTTTGATTTAATCCCTCTCTGTAACCTATATCCTTAATGCATTCATAAAGGACTGAATTTCAATTCTGTCTTTAAGGGGAATATATCCAGCTCTGCTCTTACAGCGGCAGATATCTTGATAAAATAATGATTACCACATATAATTTATTATTACCAATGAGAAGAACTCTGATGTAAAGGATAGGTTTACATATCATATGCATAATTACATTATTTGGCTGGCACATGAACTCTTCACATAATGCAAATTGTATTAAAATCAAACTTAGAGCTGAATTCAGCATTTTATAAAACAATGTAACGAAAAGATGGAATAATTTTCAAAAAAAATCTCAAATTTTGGAGTATAAACTTACATGGGGTAGAGTGAAACATTGTATTAAAATTCTAGTATACCTTCATTATCAGTTTTATTTTAAACCAGTCCATCATCCTTTCAGATTAGTACTAACTGTTGAACTGGGACATATTAAATAGAAAAGAGCTTTTTATGCTGAATTTCCAGAGTTATCCTTTTAAAGTATAGTATACATGTACAATAAAAGGGCATACGAAATAGAATGCCAGCTGCAAAAAACTGAACCACACACATTTGGCAAAAAAGCTATTATTAATAGATTTCATTGTTATCGTAAAAGTACTTAAAACCTAACATAAGCAAGTGGAAGACCAACTATTTTAATACATCTCGTTTCCTTCTTTGGCGAAATAAAGTGACTTGTGCATGTACCCGGAAATGGGTCGTGCTCTTTTCTAAAGTTCATCTGCCATGTATGTTTAGGTCATGTTCTGTGAATTAATGTATTGCGTGGGTGTGATGTGACTTACTTTACCACCATCTTTGTGATGTTATATATTCTGTCTCTTTTGTGTAAACAAACTCCTGTATTATACCTTAACTACAAGAGAAATGGGACTGCTTGCAATTCATATGGAAAAGATTTTAATAAATACATGTAAATAAAATTTAAATATTTGTCCCACATTTACCCCAAAAGTAACAGCAAGATATATTTTGATACCTTAAGTGTTTTCCTATAATTAAAAAGTGTGTATCTCCCCATAATTATTTCCATAACCATGATAATATAATTTGAATTCATTTTATTTTAAAATATTGAATGTTCTGATCTTTCAGAGATGTTCTTAATTTGTCTTAAATAATTTGAAATTATGGATCTTGACATAGATTTTTCTAATAAACTTTACAGTCAATTTATTTTCTTACAAATAGTTTTTTTTTTAAAAAAAGATATGAGTAGTCTCAATTAAGTAACATTTGCTCAAATCAAGATTTCTGTGGAGAGGTCTGGGTAAAATTCTGAATGGTAGGTACCTTATATTTTTAAAGACATTTGGTTTTTTACATGTTCATCATTTATCATTTTTGAAGAAATGTCTATTTGGACTTTTAATTTTTTTTTTAATCACAATGAGATGCACAGTTACAAAGTTGTTCATGATTGCGTTTCAGTCATACACTGTTCCTTCACCTCTCCATTCACCATTGTACATTTCCCACCACCATTGTCCTCACCCCAGTCTGTGTTCCCCACCACCCCCCTCTCTCTCTCCCTCTCCCTCTCCCTCTCTCTCTCTCTATCTCTATCTCTCTATCTCTGTCTCTCCCTCCCTCCCCCTTCCCCCTCCCCCCACCTTTTGGGCATTATAGTTTGCAATACAGGTACCGAAAGGTTATCATGTATATCCTTTTATTTACTCTCAGCACTCAGTTATTGTCCAGAGTGATCACTTTCAACAATTCGTTATAGCGGTTCCTTCTCGATCCTAACTGCCCTTTCCACCCCACTTTCCACCCCAATCGTGGGCTAGTTCTCCAGGCACTCATTTGTATTGTCCTTGGGTAATAGTCTCATGCTGTGTTTTTGTTATATCCCACAAATGACTGCTGTCATTCTGTGTTTACCCCTCTCCTCCTGATTCATTTAACTCAGCATGATACTCTCCATGTCCATTTCATTTATAAGAAAATTTCATGACTTCATTTTTCCTGGTGACTGGATAGTATTCCATTGGCTAGATGTACCATAGTTTCTTTATCCAGTCATCTGTTCTCGGGCACTCAGGTTGTTTCCAGCTTCTACTCCTCAAAAGAAATGGTGACCAAGATGAAAAGACAGCCCACAGAATGGGAAAAATTATTTACCCAATACCCATCTGATAAGGAATTAATATGAGGTTTATAAATCACTGGCAGAACTTTATTTTAAAAAAAAATTCAGCCCCACCAAAAATGGGGAGAAGGAATAAACAGAAACTTCTTTAAAGAAATACAAATGGCCAAAAGGCACATGAAAAATAAAATGCTCTACATCACTAGTCATCAGGGAGATGGAAGTCAAAACAACAATGAGATATCATCATCTCATACTACAGAAACTGGCACACATCAAAAAGAACAAGAACAACCAGTGCTGGCACAAATGAGAGGAGAAAGGGGCTCTCGTTCATTGTTGGTAGTAATGCCTACTGGTTTCAGCCCTTTTTGAAAATAGTATGGGCATTCCTCAAAAAACTAGAAATTGGCTTCCATATGACCCAGCAAAACCACTTCTGGGAATATACCCACGGGGCAAAAAAAAAAACTGCAGAAAAACCATCTGCTCTTCTGTTTCACTGCAGCACTATTCACAAGGACTTTATTTTTAGTGGTTCAAAATTTTTTAAAAAATGAAGTCAAATATCATTTATAATCCCTCTCCAAAAGTGGTTGAGTAGGTGTGTGTTTTCTCGAGAACAGGTGCTTTTTGTTGGAATCGTGAATTGCCACTTGCACCTTCCTGAGATTTATCACACATCTCAGCCCCTCCCCTTCTCCCCAATTCTTTGGAGATTTCTGCACCTGGTTTCTTTTTCTGCCATTAGTTGTATCATTAATCTCTTTCTCTCAGTATCTTCTTAGATCAAGGGTTTTTTTGACAAGGTCAGACATTGATGTTAGCTGGAAAATTAAATGAAAAGTAGGTATCTGAACCAGATAAAGCAGAATCTCCAGAAGGGAGGTGTGATTTTATGTCCAAAATCTGCATATGTTTATGTAAAATAGATTTCTATGTATTTAAATATATTTTATATATTAAATATATATTGTATATATATTCTGGAGAATATATATATATTCTCCAGAGCATCATTCCTCAACATTTTTCTGACTGTGGTCCCCTTCCAACTTTGTGTCCTCTCTGTGGTGCTCCTTTCCTGCAGTTGGTCTTGCAGTCTTGTGCTGTGAGCTCCACTATTGACTTGATTTTCAACTGTGACTCCCCCTTGGGTATTTCATACATACAGCCCCCAAGGTTGAGAAATGCTGTGTTTTTTATATCCCACAAATGACTGCTCTCATTCTGTGTCTGTCCCTCTCCTGATTCATTTAACTCTAGAAAGATTCTAAAAGATTCCAATGTGCTTCCACTGTTTAACTCTAGAAAGATTCTAGAAGATTCCAGTGTGCTTCCACTGTTTTAAAATACTAAATAAAGGAACGGATTCACACTTTAATTTCTTGACCCACTAATAATAGGACTCAACCTCTAGTTGGAATACACTGCTGTAGATTTTGTCTTTACTTCTAAAAACTCAGTTTCTAGCATCCTCTTCCTCTCATACCACCTTCCTAGGTCCATCTTTCTGTTACAACTATTCTAAAAATTCTGACTCAGCATCTCCCCAGAGTTGACTATCACATATCTCGGTCACTAAGTCAGTCTCACTTCTCCTTAGTTAATGTATTTTCCTGATCGCTCCTATTCATCTGAACTGAAAACTCAAATGTTATTTACAGTCAGCTACTCTGCATCTGTACCTGAGCAGCTAAACCTGATTGGAGGGGGAAAAGAAAACAAAAACACGATACACTTTCCTTTTCCACTTTTATTTTTATACCCTACATTTTTATACATTTTTATGGGAATATAAATTGGGTGCAGTGGGAAAGTTACGCATTTGAAGATAAGGTTGAGGACTTTTCCGAGGACATCAGATAAAGAGATTGCATGCCAGCAGGAAAAAGATCGCTGGACCCCAGACAAAAGCCTTTGTTGTTCACGGCACAGCTGGCAGCACAAGCGTCCTGCTTACCTTGCTTCCTGTGATCCCACGTCCCACAGGGCCAAGACCAACAGACCCAAATGAATCCTAAGCCTGCCAGGTCCTGTGAACGAGCTCAGGGAATCCATCTCTCTCAGGGCTTGCAATTGGCAAGCCTCTCTGTACTGGAGGGAGACTCATACCATTCTTTATGGCTGCTCATTGCCAACAGCAGGCTGAGGGATGGCCTGGGTGAAGATCAGTCAGGACCTCACATTCTGGCATTGAGTTTCTTACTCCAAATCTGGGCCTCGCATTTTTGCCCTCAGCAACGCTGCCCACAGCAATAATGATCAGGGAGTTCACGGCCGACTGCCCACCCCTAACCCTGTATGTTATTAGACTTGAAAATTTAAGGATACCATTAGCTACCCAGGTTACCCTCACCCGCTGTGCATCGAAGCAAATGAATAGTAGGACTAATACACCATTAATAAAGGCAAACATTTAAGGATTCTAGGCATCAGGAAGAGACTAACCAGTATTGACCTCAAGCCTGGCTGAACAGAGAAGCCCTGAAGGCTGCTTGGGTGTTCCTCTGGATTCATTCCACTTAGGTTGACCTACTACCTTGGGGGTCATTGACAGCAGGGAAGAGATGAACCTCCAAATAACGGTTACCCATGATGAGGATGCAGACTGTGGCTATCTCCCCACACCTGTTGCACTGTCCTCCTGTTGTTCATCGATTTGCTCAAGCAGGTACCAGTAACATCTCCATTGTGAGGCTTGTTACTGTTTTTTTGCATATCAAATATGCCATGAGGAGCTTGCCAGGCTCTGCCATGCAGGTGAGATACTCTCAGTAGCTTGCCGGGCTCTCTGAGAGGGGCAGAGGAATCAAACCTGGGTTGGCTGCGAGCAAGGCAAACACTCTACCCACTATGCTATTGCTCCAGCAACAGATAAACTAAAAAGTGACAGGTCACTCCAGTTTGGGTGTTATTAAACCTGATAGGAATAATCATCATCAGAGAAATAAGTCTCGAAAAAGATCAACAAGTGGCCGAATATCTCCCGGATCCTGAACAAGGCTGAGTCATCCCAGATCACCCAGAGAGGGGCAGGTGAGCCCCCATGCCCGCCCAAACAGAGTCCCAGCAGCCAAAAACCTCCACACTCCACAAACACCGCCATGCACCCAGCCGGACCCCACTACTCAGATGAGCCTCATTAAGAAATTAATTTTTTGAAAAATTCAGGTATGAGAGTTTTGTGATTGAAATCTCCAACTTTCACAGGGTCAGGATGAGCTACCTTCCCCCATATCCCTGTACTTCCGGAATCCCAGCAGTTACGCACATGCCCAAATATGCCAGTTAAGAATTTAACTCCAGCTGTATCACCCAGTTTATACATTTTGGACAATCTGGAGCATGCGGCTGTGATTTAAGCCATGTGAAATCCTAAACTCCATGACTCTCATAAACCAGGGATAGCACACCAGGTTGGATGGTATGTAATGTAGAAAGCGACCAATCTTGATTTACAACACATAAACACAGAAGGTTTAACCTGTAACATCTTAGTAATCTTTCATTCAAGGCCTTAAGGGCTCCATGGTGGAGATACAAGAATCTTCACTAACTTTCTTCTAAGGAAACATTTTTTTTGATCATTCTTTTAGAAAATTATAACAAACAATATAAAATAAATTATTGAGGGCCTGCTATGGAAGCAGGCTCAAGGGGTGATTGGGAAAATTGGAAATAATGGTGGTAGGAAGGTATAATTGCGGTGGGATTGGTGTTGGTGTCAGTAACTAAACTAATGACTTAATAAAGTTATTTAAAAAAAAATGAATCATCGTCATTATATTGTTTTGGTCATGAAGTATGGGCCCTGCCACTGAGTAGTGGCACGAAAGTAATACATGCCAGAACCCTTGGCTGCTCAGATCAGTGTGTGTGTGTGTGTGTGTGTGTGTGTGTGTGTGTGTGTGTGTGTTGGGGACACACCTGGAAATGTTCAGGTTGTTCCTGGCAGTGCTCAGGGCTTACTCCTGGCTCTGAACTCAAGGGTCACTCCTGGTAGTGCTCCATATGTTCTGCCGGTTCAGAGGAACCATATGTTCTGCCGGGAATTGAACCTGGGTTAGCAGGTATGCAAGGCAAGTAAGTGCCTTACCTGCTGTACTATCACTCCAGCTCTACAAGAGTTTTTTTTTTTTTAAAGATGTTAGTTGTGTGTTTGAACATGTGCATGGCAGGTCCATGTGCCACTGGCTGCATCAGGCCAAGCAAATGGTTCAGGAAGGGCCGTGCCTACCTGAGTGATTCTGGCTTGCAGCCCCTGTGGACCAGCACAGCCCATACAACAGGAGAGCCAAACACCAGCCACTTCAGTTTCTTGCCTTTAGCACCACACAATCTCTTGTTAGGCTGCTGTGTAGGGATCTCAGTCAGGGACAGAGAGGGAATTCATTGCTATTATTTTGGGTCCCAAGAATGCCCATCGGGCCGGAGTACAGCAGGTAGGACATTTTCCTTGCACGAGGCTGATCCAGGTTTGATCTCCAGCATCTCATATGGTCCCCCAGCACTGCCAGGAGTAATTCCTGAGTGCAGAGCCAGGACTAACCCCTGAGCATCACTGGGTGTGACCCAAAAAGCAAACAAAAAACCAAACAAGAATGCCCATCAATGGGTTACTGATAAAAGGGTGATTTATAGAATTACCCTTTGATATAATGCCCAAATGAGGCTTGAACTTCTTCAGTGCTTAAAGCATCCTATCAAGGAGTGCTGGGCAGAGTGAGGGAGGTGGCACAGCTCATCAGCAGAGCACTGAGGAGGATGCCAGCAGTTTTCGGTGCTCTCGTGGGAGGAGGACACCACTCAGACAGCTTGTCTCCATCCTCAGCCTCTAAGTGTTGCTTAACTGGCAGGACAGCTGGGGCCCCACTTCTCTCCCGGCTCTCACCAACACCTAGGTTAGAGCATCCGCTCCTTGTACCCGAGAACAAGGATAGGAACTCTGCTCGGACCCCTCCACCTCGCTCATCCTTTCTCTTCCAGATGGCACGCCCCTCAGCAGCCTGTGCTTGAGAAACTTCCCAAATGTCATTTAATTTACAAATATGCTCCCATGCTGTGAATCATATTGGCAGTGGGTGGGGGCCACACAGATTATACTCCTGGCTCTGCTCAGAGATCATTCCTAGAGATGCATGGGGGACCGTATACAGAGCAAGACATTGTGTTGGGGTAAGCCTGTTAGACAGGTACCTTAACCCCTGTACCGTCCCTCCAGTGAATCATTTTTATCACACTCTTGATAGCATTTGTAGCACAAAAGTTTTAAATTTTGGTATACTTCCCTTTTCTTCTTTTGATTTTGGTGGCATATCTAAGAAATCATTATCTAAACCCAAGGGCATGAACATTTACTCATTTCTTCAACTTTTGTTGATGTTTGTGGGACCATACCTGGTGCTGCTCAGGGACCATACTCAGTGCTGGGACTGAGCCCAGCAAAGCAGTTGTTCAGCCCATTGAACTGTCCTGTGATCTGGCCCTTCATGTGCAGTATGGAAGTGTCAGCATCATTTTCCCCCAGCTTCATTCTTTTGCATGTGGATAATTGTCCCTAGATGCTTTCTTTGTGTTTATATTTACCTAACATATTTTCCCAATATTTTATTTTTGGGCACCGTGACAACTCACTAGAACTGATAATATATGTGAAATGCAATAGCTAGCCCACTTTACAGATTTGAGGAAATGTAAGTGAAGTACCCTACCAGAGATGGCAAGCCAGCTCTGTGGTTACCTTAGGTGTTCTGATCACATTTCCAACCCGAGTCATTGCCTGCCTGCTGAGCACTTCAATAAGCCCACCCGACTCTCTTTTGAATCCTAAATTTCACAATAACCCATCCCTTAGAATGTCAGAAGGGAATGTCATGCCCAATAGAAACTTTCCAAATGATGGTAAGGGGGTGGGCGGATAAGCCAGGGTGTAAGGCACTTACCTTGCATGCAGACAACCCAGATACAATGCCCAGTGTCACATCTGGACCCCTGAATATCACCAGGAGTGATCCCTGAGCACAGAGCCTGGAGTAAGCTCTGAGCATCTCTGGGTGTGGCCCTCAAACAAAAAAACTGCAAGAAAAATGATGATGAATTTTTGTTTCCTGGGACCAGAGAGATAGTTTGGAGGGCAGGGCACTTTGCACGGAGCCAACCCAGGTTTGGAACTTAGCACCTCATATGGGCCCTCAAGCAGGCCAGGAATAATTCTTGTATGCAGAGCCAAGAGTAACCCCTGAGCACTACCGAGTATTGCCCTAAAAGAAACAAAAACACAGTGTGTGTGTGTGTTTGTGTACGTGTGTGTGTGTGTGCATGATCACATGCCAGGATCAAACCTAGGGTCTCACACATGTCTATGAAACATGTGCTCTCTTTTTCTCTTTTGTTTTTGGGTCATACCCAGTGGTGTTCAGGTCTTACTCCTGGCTTTGCATTTAGAGATTACACCTGGCAGGCTTGGCACAGTATCAGGTGACAGGGATCAAACCCAGGTGGGCCCCGTGAAAAGCAAGCCCCCTACTCCCTGTACTATCACCCAGGCTCTCAGTTTGCTCACTTTTAAGGTCAGGGTTGTAGAGTAGACACGAAGGGTTCTGAAGTAATTGCAAGAGACAGTAATTGCCTTCCACACCACAATATTTATATTATTTTATCTTTTTGTATCCCTCTCGGAGAGCCCGGCAAGCTACCAAGAGTATCTCACCCGCACGGCAAAGCCTAGCAAGCTCCCCGTGACGTATTCGATATGCCAAAAACAGTAACAAGAAGTCTCAGGATGGAGACGTTACTGGGCCCGCTCGAGCAAATCGATGAACAACGGGAGGACCGGGACCATGATCTTTTTGTGTATCTGTTTTGTTTGGAGTCCATACCTGGAAGTGCTTAGGGGCTACTCCCAGCTCTGTGCCCAGGACTTGCTCTAGGTGGGGCTTTTGGGAGCCCCTGGCCTCCTGTGTGCAAAGCCTGTGCTCATCACATTGTCTGCTCTTGGTACCTTTTGTGATTATATATGTGTATGTGTGTGTTTATGTTCTCACCATGACTTTTCTTTGCATGAGTGATGTCCCTTTCAGTTTGCCAGTCTGTGTCCCTGTGAAAGATGTACTATTGCATTTCTTCCTTGCTCCTGAAGAAGCCACGTGGTGTGGCTCCAAGGGAAAGTGATGGAGAGCAGGTGTGGCAAGAGACTCTGAAGTTCCCAGTCCAAGCTTGTGTCCCTCTTGTTCCTGAGTGGGACATAATTCATCGACCCCTGCACGGTATGATGCTTTAGCAGCATCTCTGGTCTTTACCCACTAGATGCCAGTAGTGGCACCTGCCAACCAGTTGTGACAATCCAGAGTGTCATCAAATGTTGCCGAGTGTCTCCTAGAAGACCAAAGCATGCATGATGAAGAATGACTGGTCTAAATAGACCATTTATTTCATGTATCCTTTCCTTCCACCCCAATACAGCAGTTAAATGGCCAGGTGTCTTTTTGTTTGTTTTTAATCTATGGGTTTTTTTTGTTTTTGTTTTTGTTTTTTTTCTGCCACAGTCAATGGTGCTCAGGACTTACTCCTGGCTGTGTTCAGGGATCACTCCTGGTGGTGCTAGAGGACTGTGTGGCGCCAGGAACTTCGTGCGAGTCTAGTACTTTAACTCCTCCACTATCTCTCTGGCCTGTCGTCTTTTTTCTTTTCTTTTCTTTCTTTCTTTCTTTTATGAGTGGGGGTGGGGGGGACAATGTCTGGATGCTTAGTGATTCTGTTTAGAGTACATATGCCGTGGGGAACCAAACCTTATCTTTCAGGTTGCAAAGTATGCACTCAGCTCCTTCAGCAAATGGGACGTTCAGCTAGAATTCTTTAATATGAGCAGAAATTTGCCAAAATTTTTAAATTATTTTAAGAGTGCGTTAATTAGGGTGCCTCTCCTTGCCAACATTAAAAGTAGATCCCCACACATTATTAACGTACATTTTAATTTTTATAAAGTGTATTTTCATGCTGTTGCACAATTGTATCAAGAAAAAGGATGTATATTCTACATGGGATTTTGATTGTGTAGATAAATTGGGCTGTGAATTTTTGGCTTCTGGAAGCTTAGGTTGTTTCCAGAGAAAATCAAGAAGATATTTGCTCAACTCTTTATAAAACTCTTTGTGATTCTTATTTAGAAAAAAAAAGGCAGACATAGTTTGGGTTATGTAAGCACTGAACACAAACACAATATACAACCATGCTTCCTGCTGCTTCATTAAAACCGCTTAGCTACGAAAATCCCCTTGGATATGGTAGCATGCCTGGGGCGTTCCTAGTATCAGAGCTGTTCCTTCCAAATCATTACACCTGCAGGAACTCAGTCCTGTTTCCCGCATTAGGATATCGGGTTCAGCACCGAACACTTTCCAACTTTTGCCTCTGAGATTTTTTTTGCTTCAGAAGTCCCGATTAATTACACTCATTACTACTACTATTATTATTATTATTATTAGCATCTTTTGCACAGAACAAAAGGGATAGAGTAACCGGCTCCGCGTTTCCCTAAGGCCACAAGGAGAAAAGATAACTGTTTTCCATCAAGCATCGATCACGAGTTAATTTATAGCTGGGGACAACAAAGCCCTGAATGTCACTGTCACTCTGCTCTGACGAATGGCGACCTCAGCAAGGCAATTCAGAGTCTTTCTATTTCCGTAGGGCAACTTTTTGTGTGTTTGTTTTTGTTTTGGAGGTTCTCGGGGTGGGGGTGGGGGGATCACTCCTGGCGGGGCTCGGGGAGGGGACCCTACGAGGTGGCTGGGACAGTAGCCAGGCTGGCCTCGCGCGAGGCCAGTGCCTTACCATCCAGTCCTCCCCTTCCCTGCCCCCACAACCCGGGCAAACAACTTGATATTTATTTGACGTCCGTCCGGGGCTCCCGGGGTGTTGGGGCCCAGCGGCGCGACGCTCCGGAGCCCGGGTGGCCCGTGCAGGGACCAGACGCCGGCGCGGGCCCCCTCCGCCGCGGACACCCGCGGACCCGGCGCCCCCGGCCCACGCAGCAGCGCCCACGCAGGTAACGGCGCGCGCCGCCACCCGGGGGGCCGTCCGCGGCGGCGGGGGGCGCGGCGCGGGTCCGAGCATGTGACCGGGCGGCGCGGGCCGGGGCGCAGTGCCGCGCGGCGGCGGCGGCAGCGGCGGAGGCGACGGCGGGCGGCGCAGCGGAGGCCGCGGCTGGGGCCGCTGCGGTGGCGGGTGCGCGCGGCTGCGGGGCGCCCGCGGGGACCTCAGGTGAGTCCCCGAGCCGGGCGGCGGGGGGCGGGGGCGGGCGGGCTCCTCCGGGACCGACGGGACCCGCGCGATTGTGGGAGCTCGGGGGCCGCTCCCCGCGCCGCGCCCCGGGCCCCGCCGTCCGGGCAGCCCGCGCCCCCCGCCAGCGCCGCGGGGCTTTGTTTAACCTCCGCGGGCCGATCGCGCACACGCGGGGCGTGGAGGGGGGTGGTCCCGGTTCGGATGAGCCCGTCGCGGGGAGGCGGAGGCGAGACAAAGGTTCCCCCCCTGTTTACTGCGGGCTGCGAGCCGCCGGGACGGGCAGCGGCTTCTCCTGTCCCCCCACCCACCCCCAGCGCCAGCCCCCCGGGGGTCTGTCTGCCCGCGCATCTCCCCCCACCCCACCCGGTCCTGCACCCGCCCAGGCGGGCAGAGCGCGGTGGGGGCGAGACCCCGGGACCCGCCGATCCCCCCCACCCCCTGCACGCGGTGGGTGGGGTGTCGGAGCTTTTCTGCACCGGCACGGTCAGGAAGACGTGGACCCTCGCCCGCGCCCGAGGGGAGGTAGATGTTCGCAGCGCCCAGCATCGCGGGCATTTTTTTTCCTGAACTGTGTCTGGAGAGAGAAGGAAGACACAGCTGTGAGGACACAGTCACTCGGTCCATGTTGGAGAGGGGAGGGCTGTGGGGCGCACAACCAGTAAGTATTGAGCGTGCGTTGTGAAATGTTAAAATAATCTGGTGCAGGTGTGTGTCTGTGGGGTGGGGGTGGGGGGGCGGGGAGAGTGTGTTGGGGTGGTACTAGGGTGTGTGTGTGTGTGTGTGTGTGTGTGCGTGTGTGTGTGTGTGTGGCCGCGATGGTGGAGAGGGAGTGGTTAGGATACAAAGGATAAGGCAATTTTAGTAAAAGCTTCTTAGTAGATAACCCTGTGGCAAATTTTCAATTCATTTTAAGTTTTCCTTAAATCAATGTTCGCCCGTAAAAACCCCCTGGACTAGTGGTGTTATGTATAAAATAAGCAACAATTATTTGGCATTGTGTGTGTCGGGAGGAGGGGGGGTAATCGGAAGACAGCACTCACTTTTGAATAATTAAAAAAGTCAACAAAGGAAGGGCATCCTCTCTGTTACCTCCTTTATTCGAAGAGAAACATATTCCTTATTCCTGGTTCAATATAGGCAACAGAAAATTACCTACAAGAAAACGTCTTAAAGACAGGTTTGTTTTTTTTTTTAACAAAAGAAACGGGGGGGGGGGGCGGGGGGAGAGAGCAGTTGCATCTTATAAGATATTATATTGCATTATGGTGAATTCAGCTCAGAAATATGAAGGAAGAAAAAATAATGCTACTAGATCAGCTTTCCAGTATTATTTAAGATGTTATCTACATAAGATTTTTAAAAAAGATGTTATCTTATTTTTCAGTCTAATATATTAACTTTTGATATTGAGAAACTTAAACTCTGAAAATTCAGGGAACTTAGCACAGGGACTGAGAGACAGTCGGGGATTAAGGAGGGAGACCTTCCTGGGTGTGGCCTTGGAGGCTTTTACCACCGCACCCCTGTGCCCAGCACTTCTGGGGGACCCAGGTGATCCTAACACTGCAGGGCCCAAGTAGCACCCTATCTTTGGCTCTTGCATTGAACTGCTGACCTGGTTGATAGGATCACTGGAAGGGCCCTTGGGCCTCCTGAGCACCACTTGGGACCACTCCCCCCCTCAGTCTCCTCTTCCTCCCCCAGCCCTGCCACACACCCACACGCAATAGAAGAATTTAGCACAAAATTTAGAACCTGCAAGAGAATAATACTGACCTGCATCTATTGTGCATCTATAGGTAATTGGTATAAAAACAGAAGGTTTCATATAGTTCTTTCTTACACTACACACTGTAATTGTATATTATTGCTAGACGAAGCCATATTTTAGTTTTCCTTTATGCAATTTTAGAAAAAAATATATTGGTATTAACATGAAATTCTCCAGTATAAGTGACTGTCTTTTCATCTTTTTTTTAAAAAAAATATTGCATTCTCATTTGTGATATAGTAAGTGTTCAATAAATAGTTTGATTCATTTGTTCAGGGGGAGTTGGGCCACACTCGGCTGTAATCAGGGCTTATTCCTGGCTTTGTCTGTGCTCAGGGGTCACTTCCTGGAGATGTTCAGGGGATGATGTGTGGTGCCAAGGATTGAGCCCAGTCAGCTACCTGCAAAGCAAGTGTCTTACCCATTATACTATGTCTCTGGCCCAGTTTTTTGTTTGTGGTCTGGGGGCCTGTCACGTGTAACGTGACAGTCCTCAGCGACTGACCTTGTGCTCAGAGATCACTTCTGGTGATGCTCAGAGGACCATATGCGAATCAGTGTGAGGGTGTGACCAACGCAGTCACATTTGAGGCAAGTGCCTTATCACCTATGCTGTCTCTCCAGTCCTCAATTAAAATTAAGTGGGAAAGAATGAGCACTCAGAAAATAAAATACAGAGAGAACCAGCATCCAGATGGAGCTGGCTTACTTCTTTTATTTTAATGAACATGTACTGAAGGCCTACTGTGTGTCAAGAGGCCATGCAGAAAGTTTCCAAACACATATAGAAAAAGCCTGGTGACCTTCCTTCCCTTTTAGATCCTATTTAATGTGTTTCTGTGAAGGGTGGTGTCCTGTGGGTGGTATAGACACCCTCTCATGTAACTGTGTAGCACAAGAGAACTTTTCACCGGCTGGCTGTACATTTATTTTTTCACAATGGCCTGTGGGGACCCAGGGCAGATAGTATCACTCCCGTTTTGTAGGTGAGGAAATCCAGACGCAGCGAGATTAAATGACTTGCCAACTCCTTTGCCACCAAAGCAGCAATGCCAGGGACAGAAGCTGGCGCCCAGGCCAGTGCCTTCACCTCTGGTCACACAGCCTGGTCCGGGATCAGCTGCCTTCCCAGAAGTGCTTGTGGAGTGTCTTAGCTTTCATGAGGCCTGCTCCAAGTCTACCTTTAGAACAACTCTTGCAAGGACAAGGTCTATTTTACCACCCAGAACTTGTGAAAGGGTTCGAGGTGCCAGTGCTGAGGGTCAGGTGACTGAATTCGAAACTTGGATCCACTGAAATGCAATTTCCACTAGTGATGCCGTCTCTCTTCATTTCAGTGTCTGTAAACTGGGATACACTGTCGTACCGGCCTTTAGAAGTCTGGGAGAGGCTCCAATGAGGATACGTGTGTCTATGCCTAGAGTAATGTTGAGCACAAACTAAGCAATTTGTGTTAGATCATTTTTGTTCTTACCAGGTGATGTAGTGGTTTTTCAACTTTTGAGGGAATAATAAGAAATGCACTATATATTGTTATCCAGTATACGGAGATCTTCAAATGGTTTTCAGATGAAACTGATAGTTTAAGGAATAGACTTTTAAAATTTTTCTTGGCAGTGCTCAGGGATTACTCCTGGCTCTGCATTCAGGAATCACTCCTGGTGGTGCCATATGGGATGCTGGGATTGAACCAGGGTCGGCTGTGTGCAAGGCAAGCGCCTTACCCACTGTACTATCACTCCAGCCCCAAGAGTAGACTTCTTATGTGTAATCATTCATCTTTTGGGTTTGTTTTTGCTCCCACATTCTGCTGGTGCCACATTCCTCTAGAGTGACCCTTGGTAGTGCTTGGCAGGGGGCAGCATTCAATGCCTGGCATCGAATAGGGGTCAGTTGTGTGCAAGGCAAGAGTCTTACTTTCTCTACTATCTCTTTGGCTCACTGCTTTGTTTTGGAGTCACACAGGCAGTAGTTGAGGCTACTCCTGGCTCCGTGTACAGGGTTGATATGGTGAGAGGGAGCATGCGATGAGGTGCTGGGACTCTTGCTTGCTAAGTGTTATTCCAGCCCTCTCCCTGGCTTTGCAGTTCATTCTTATGTTTCCGTTCAATTTTATTTCAAAATGCTGGTTGAGATCCACTAAATGATTTCCCATCCCCGTCGTGGGTTAAAGCTTATGGTTCGAAAAAACACCGATGTAAAGGCTAGTCGAGCTAAGTGCACTAAAGAGAAAATTTTATTCTTAAATCCCTATATTTTTCCTTTGAATGACTTGCAGCTTCAGTTAGGCATTTAATATTACACCGAAAATTGAGTCTTAAACATTTCTTTTTTTGTTTGGGGGCCACACCCTCTGGTACCCAGGAGCTTCTCCTGGCTCTGTGGTGGGGGTGCTTCTATTGGTGCTAAGGGGACCTTGTGGTATGAAGATCAAACTTGGGCCTTCGGTATACAAAGCATGTGTTTGGCCTATTGAGCATCTCTCCTGCCCCGGACATCGTTTAGTAATTGCAGTCATATATTTAGTATTTATCATAGGTGAGGTCTGTGCTAAGCAGCCTATTTATATATTGTGTCTAATGTAGTGCTCACAACCTTGTAAGCCTTGTAAGCTGACCTTGTGTTTCCATTTGATAAATGAAATGAGAACTCAAAGAGGTTTGATGAACTTTCCCAGGGTCATAAAGATCAAGCAGGAATTCAAACTGATGGGGCCCAAGAGATAGTACAGGAGTTAAGGTTCTGACTTTGCAGGCGCTGCTGACCTGTTTTAATCCCTGGTTCTGACCCAAGTTCATTCCCCAGCACTGCATATGGTTCCTGAGCACTGCCAGAGGTTATTCCTGAGCACAGAGCCAGGAGTAAGATCTGAGGACTGTGGGGTGTGACCCCATAACAAAGAAAAACTTGGGAATCCAAATTGAGTTCTGTTCGACCCACGGCAGTGTGGTCCTTTCAGCCCCATGCTCTTCCTGTGTCCAATTACAGTCATTTCTGAAGATGGCTCACTGCTTCTTTCAGGTAAATTGGAAGTCAATATTGGACATTTACCCCTTGCATCTCACCTTTCGAAAGTCCTTTGAAAGGATCTAGATGAAGATTTTCAAGATAGAAAAGTCAGAAAGTGCACAGTGTAGACCAGTGATTTTGACTTTGGCTTGTCTTTGATGCAAATATTTTGGAGTAACTCCTCAGGTTGCTATGATAGTCAGTTAATTCATCAGTCTTATTGAACACCCAAAGGTTGAATATAAATTCAGAAGAGACATGAGACTACTAAGCAACTATAAAAAGACTTCATTGTGGAAGGATGTTGCCTCCTGTTAAAGCACAAAGTGAAGACTTAAGAGCTACAAAGAGTACTTTATTGTTTATTGATTTGTCTCAAAATCACCAGGCAGTAAAAGTAATTTATTTTGTAAGATACTTGCAGGAAAGCCACCATTAACTGCTGCGGTAATTTTTGGTAATTAAATAAATTTCTAAAATGTTGCAAGTATTTCTATTATTTGTGGCAATGTTTTAATGGGGGGGGCTACTTCTAGTACTTCATTTCTCTTTTAAAATATTGTCGGGGGAGGGGAGAGAGATAGAGAGAGAGAGAGAGAGAGAGAGAGAGAGATGCCTGCCAGAGTCAAGCTGGGAGGGAGTAGTTGTGGGGTGGTGGAAGGGAAACTGGGGACATTGGTTTGGGGAAATGTACACTGTTGGAGGGATGGGTTGTTGGAATACTGTATGACTGAAACCCAGTCGTGAATAGCTTTGTAATGGTCTA